CGAAATGTTGACCTTGACATGGCACAACTGGCGGCGGGAATGGTGTGTGGCTGGGAATGCTGGGCGTCGCCTGGTTCGGAGAGCTCTAGGGAAGTGCAGTTTGGGGATTTTTTGCGAACGGACAAAGTTGCGAACGGCGCGATGCGGGGATTGATTGGATGAGGCGGTGGCAGGTTCAGTCAGATAAAGTTTGAAATGATTTGGCGGGAAAATCGAAGCCCTGTTGCAGAGAACCTAGGGATCAATTCAAAGCTTGTGTGCAATGGTGAAACACTGCATGTACTGTATGACATGTAGGTAAGAAATTCGGATCATATTTCTGTACTTCATCTAGGACCTAACAAGCACATCATACTTTCCTCGAATTGCATGTACTGAAAGAAAAGAATGATAATACATGGCTATGTACATAGGTTGCCGGGCAACAGCATGAAAAGAAAGCAGTCAATCGGAACAATTCATCAGCTTGGCTGATTGGTGTGCCTCGGTATCATCTGAGGGTTAACCCTAGATGGAAACCAACACACAAAAGCTTCAGCAGCTCGCATGGGTAGCACCAGAGATGCAAAACATGGACTGGCAATAGCGGCAGCAGCAGGAGGGGGATGGGCTGAAGATGTGGACTGTCTGGATAGGCAGATGGGAAACCTGATGCATGCATCCATCAAGGCTGCGCACCAAAGGGCGAGCACCAAGGTGCTGCCCTGCTGGATGCTGCTTGAAGTGCAAGTAGCGCTCCAAAGCCCCACCAAAAAAAGAAAGGATGTTGGAAACTCTAAGAAAAGAGGAGAGTGACTACCACTGTGCCTGGATCTGTGAACGAAGGCACCAAGAATGTGTTGATGATGCAGGCGTTTGGTGTCAATGGCTGGGCACATCTGAGTCTTGCGCCAGCCATGGGTGACCTGGAGTACCGAGAAGATTGGGAAGAAAAAAAAATAGAACAAAGAAACAGGAATACTAAGAAAAAGGACAATAAGCAGCCCCTGCTGCTGGATGAAGGACCTCAGGAAACCAAGTGGTGTGCTGCAAGAGATGCATTGAAAACCAGACGTTGCAATGTAGCGAGAGGAAGCATTGCAACAGATCAGGGCAAGAGGCGGGTACGCACGAAGGATGTCATGAGCCGAAGGCCGCTTGCTGACATCGCGGCAGAGCATGAGCGTGAGCAGATCCTTGGCCTCTGGAGACAGCGACTGCAGAGGGGGAGACTCGAGGTCCAGAGGGGCAGACGCCACCGCCCTGAACACATCCATGATCGTAACTGCCATGTCATCATGGGGTTGGGGAGGGGGGGAGAAGAAGGTTTGGGAACGTGAATGAGGGGACACAGCGAGTGCTGCGGGTTACTCCCATAGCAGGGCAGGAAGGGGCACAGGAACAGTGGAAAGCAAAGGTAGAAAATTAACCAGCCTGTGCATATTCCTAGCACACTAATGCGCTCCTGCTCACCTCCATCAAAGGGCACTCTGCCAGCGAGCAGCAGGTGCAGCAGCACGCCCGCACTCCACACATCCACCTCGGGCCCGTACCCTCCTCCCCCGCGCACCCTCAGCACCTCAGGCGCCACGAAGCATGGGCTCCCTGCCACCTCATGCAACCGCTTGTCTTGGGAATAGAAGGTGGCAAGGCCGAAGTCGATGGCGACGAGAGGGGACGCAGGGTCGTTGAAGAGAAAGATGAAGTTGCAGTCCTGCACGTACAACACAACCAGCAGCAGATGCGACAGGCAGAGAGAGAGAGACTGAGCTCAGAACGGTGGGGAGTGAGCGAGCCAAGTGCAGATGCAGCATAAAAAGGAACTGGCTGAAGCATTAGCCGTAACATTCCTTCCACCCCTCAGCTCCCCCTCGCCATGACCAGTTAGAACCCAGGTGCAGTCCCTGAGATCCCTGCGACCCCTGCTACCCCGAGCGAGCCTACAAGAAGCTGCGTTGGAACTGACCTTGACGTCACGATGCACGATTCCGCGGTCATGGCAGTACGCCAGCACGCTCACCACCGATCGCATCACCCGCGCCGCCTCTCGCTCGCTCATGGCACCCTGAGACAAGGAGGCGAGGAAAACGCTTAGCACCGAGAAGCTTCTGCAGACTTCCAAATTAGACTTCCGAAACGTTAGTTGTCCAAGGTCAAATGTGAAATGTGAAATGTGAAATGTGAAACGTAAAACGTAAAATGTAAGACGGTCCTTCGCCTCGTTCGGGGCATCAAAGCGCATGAGTGATTCTTATCAGCTATTCAAAGGCAATTTAGTAGCTGTATGGTCCTTCACCAGAACGAAGGCTCGAAGACATGGAACGCGAGTCGCACACACACACCTGTTGCGCGATGCGGTCCTTGAGGCTGGGCCCCTCGCAGAGCTGCATGACGATGTGCGTGTGCTGCGCGTCATCCACCACGTCGTACAGCCGCACCACGCCCGGATGGCCCTGCATCCGCGTTAGCAAATCCACCTGCACCGCACCGTGCGGACACGCGGAGAGGAGTCGACGCGAGTCAGTCGTGACACGAAACAAAGACAAACGGGGGAAATAAACCATTGATGGTGTACAGACAAGGCCTTGGATAATAATCGTTCGTAATATACCTCCTTTTTTGCCGTCGCGGATCGGTCCAGGTTCGGGGGGACTCCACCGCCCTCGTTGCTGCGGCTGCTGAATCCGCTGCCTCGGCTGGTGCTTCTGCTGTTGGCCGTGCTGCTGCTGCCGGCCGATACGAGTCGTGGCAGGTCGTCCTTTGGGATCGACTTGCATGCGAATCGTTTCGCGACAGTCGCGAGACCGCCAGCGATCACCCCCTGCGACTGCGCCGGCGACGATGCTGGCGAAGGAGAGGAAACGCCACTGCTGAGGCCAGACGATAATGACTCAAATCCGAAAGGAGACGAGGGAGAGGATGCAAAGGATAAGGGAGACTCCGACGAGCACGGAAGCGGCGAGGAAAAGGAGACGGATTGCCCGGGCTGCTCTTTGAAGAACTTCTCCCTAGGCCAGCACACACGCACAGAGCCGTGCTTCCCTGATCCCAGCAACTTCCCCACGTGGTATTTCGCCTCCAATGAGCCGTCCGTTTCCGTCGCTTTCCCAGCATCGGCCATCTTAGCATACGCACCCCTCATGAACAGCTTCTGCTCGATCTTGCGAGGTTTACTGTGAGACCTAGACTTCACATTTCTATCCTTTCCCGCCACATCAGCCGCACCCGACCCATCAGAACCGTGAACACCTTCCCCGGTGTTGGGAGCTTCGCTGTCGGCTTTCTTAGCCCGGCGATCCGCAGTCTTGGCATGGAGCTGCGCGAAGCGAGTGACGCGGTGGTGCGAGTATCTGGTCCTTGACGCGTCAATCCCAAGATTGTCGTCGGTAGCCCATACGGCGGAGGGTGCCGAGCAGGAGTTTCCCATCGCGACAAACGGCGGTGGCAGCAGCAATTGCTAACGGTAAGAGTGGTCGTGTCAGGAGGGTGAGGCCAAACCAGCCGCCATTGTGGGAGGTATGACGGCTATACTAAGAGACATCAAGTTCGTCAATGGAGATGAGCCGTGGTGAGCAAGGTGGGGAAACAGTTCATGCCCGTGAGGAATGAACCAAGGATAGGAGCTCCAGATTGGAAAGACTCAACAAAGCACGATCTACTAAGTAACCTCACGTGTCACGTGACTCACGTGTCTTCCACTTCTCGCCTAACCCTGTCTCTGCTCTGGTCGCCGATTCTCCTCTCCTCCCGTCTAGTCACTTGGCTGTTGCTGGTTGTCACTTGGTTGGTTGGTGGGGTTGTCCATAAGGGCGGCGCGCACCCAAATTTCAGCAATTGCGCCATGCTACAAAAGGTTGGGGGCTGGGGGAAAACGCGCGCACAAGAAGTATGCGCTGTGCAGGGCCAGGAGGGGCAGACCTTTCAGTTGACCAAAATTTATACTGCCAGTTTGTAGAATTGCAGTACAGTAAACCCTAGACAGTTGGTGCTTAAAAAGTTCATATGCTCGAATACGTTTTACCATCAGACTACATGATCGGAAAAATGTTAACCCTGCACCCCACGGACACGCTGACTGAGCCATTCGGGGGTAGCGCCACAACCCCCTGACCAGTCCCGCGCGGCTTCCCTCATCCGAGGTGTTTCTTTGAGCCTTCGTGGAGAACAAACGCCAGCCCGACCTCCGAAAAGTTGGAAAAAGTTTCCTGCTGAGGGCAGCCAATGTTGTTTTTTTTTTGCGCACTCTCCATAGGCTTCTCAACCACAGGTGCCTGCCCAAAGCGCTTGCGAGGTCTCCAGCAAAGAATATTCCTAGCCGCACCGTTCTCTGGTTGGGAACGGGCGGGAGAAGGGCTAGCAAGCCCCCAAAGTGCGTGCGTGCAGTCGTGGACGGATCTGGGCCTGACTAGGGGTGACGCAGCAATTCAGTCTGCATCATTCACAGCATTCCACGTGTTGAGAAAGTTGTCAGACAGTGAGAAGGTCGCCAGGTTCAACGAGCCGCAATGATTCCACCCAGCAACGATTGGGGCGAACCAATGGATAAGCTGCCTGGGATATGAGCTGTCAAAGGCCACATTCTGAGGTCCCGAGAAGTATCTGACCTGGACCAGCAATCCCTGCTGTGACTAATAGGGGAGAACCCGAAAATCACATCCCAGCGCGCCTCGTTCACACAACGCAACAGGTGAAGCGGTTTAGAGTTACATCGTGTAACCATGTTATTCGCCATCACGCTACACAGGATTCACCTTATTTAACACTAAATCTACTGTTTAGTAAATTGCTCGTCTCACAATGTCACCTTGTTATCGCAAGGTCTGACTACCCTCCTCTTCATCTGCGTCATCTACGTCAGGCACGAACAAGACATGGTCTATGGGGTTGTTGGCTGCATCATATGCTGACCACGACAACAAATGGGCACTCAAATCCACACGTACATAGTGGTGCCCCAAATGTGTCACCTGTAGATTGGGAGGAAGAAAGGGGATATGGACATCCAGAAGAAAAGCCTCAGATTAACCAACACTGCCGCTGGCCTGACCTACACTACAAATGGGGAAAAAAAAGGCGTGAAATAAACGAAGGGTCCCCAAGAGTTTTCAATAGATCTACATCAGCTGACTAAAATCTAGATGAAGCACAAGCGCTCACCTTATACATGCCCCAGTCGGCAACTCGGTGCTTGTCAATGCGCTCCCCACCTCCCCCCAATATGGCGTACATGACTCCGTTCCTCTCGCCCCTTTGGTACGCATGTGAGTGCCCACTAACCACCAGATCCACACGATACTTCTCAAACAGAGGAACCCACTCCAACCTCACCCACTCCGTCCGCCTCCTCTCCCCTCCACCCCCATCCTCTCCACTCCCCTCCCCACCACCACTCCCTCCAAAACCACTTCCTGGCCCACCACCACCCCCACTCCCCCCACTACCACCACCACTGTGGCTCCCATGCCATGAAGCAGCATCCCAGTAGTCAATGAAAGGAGGGACGTGCAGCAGGACGGCTACAAACGGGGGTGCTATTCTGCGCTCCCTCGCTGCTGCCACCGCCTCTAGCGTGGCCCGCAGCCATGCTGTCTGTACAGCAATGGAAGACGAATTCACGTTGGAATCAAGGCCTATCCACAGGCATTCCCCTAGCAGCATTGACCACCACCGTACATCTCCGCTGGTAGGCATGGCAGAGGAGTGTGTGGTGGTGGTGGCAGCGGTGGGAGTGGCAGTGGTGGCGGTGGTATGTGGTGTGGTGGAGGCAGAGGGAACAGACCATAGGGAGGGAGGAGGGGAGGAGGTTGACGTGGGTGAGAGGAGTGAGGAGGAGGAAGGAAGAGGGGCGAACAGGTCCGCAAGCTGATGGGCATCGATCAGCGCATCAACACTCTCACTGCTGCTACCATTGCTTCTGCCGCCGCCGCTGCTGCTGCTGCCCCTACCACCGCTACTGCCGCTGCCACGGCCCCCCACCCAGCCTCCCCCATGTGCTGCTGCTGCTGCTCCTGCACCTGACCCACTTGCATGCCCCACAGCTACATCGAGATCCCCATGCACGCCCAGGGAAGGAATCGACGCCGCCACATGGCTCGCTTCCAGTGGTTGTGTCCACATGCGCTGCCACTGCAACACTGCAGCACCCTCTCCCCCACCACTCGCACCACCACCAGCAGCACCACTGCCACCACCACCACCCGCCGCCGCTGCCGCAGCCGCAGCCTCAGCAGCAGCAGCAGCGGCGGCTCCAGGGACCCGGTCGCCCAGGTGTAGAATCAGGTCTGCGGAGGGTTTATGCGCTCGGATGTGCGTCAGGTGGCGCCGGAACACAGAGCTGCCCCCCTGCGTGTCTGATATGATTACCAGGTGGAAAAACTCGTCGTCTACGTTGTTATCGTCCTCATACCCCTCCCCTTCGTCCTCCTCCGCCGCTGCCCCAGCCCCTGCTCCTCCTCCTCCTGCCGCTGCTCCTGTGCCTGCCCCTGTTCCTCCTGTATCCCCTGCTGCCCCACCCGCACCGCCACCAGTTCCTGATCCCGACCCTGCATCCCCAACTGCACTCTCACCGGTCTTGCCCGGGCCAATCGGCACACCCACAGGTGGCCTCTCATGCGCCTTGCGCCCCCACATGCCCTTCTTCCCCACTCGAGACTCAAACTTGGGCGACCCTCCCCCCCCATGGTCCTTAAGCCCTGCTGATTTTCTCAGCATGGCCGCCCGGGTCTTCAGATAATGCCGCCTCTTGTTGTGCCGCTCGAACCAGGACACGCGGTGGCCGCCCGAGCGGTTGGAGAGGGCGGCGGAGCGGTGGGCGGCAAGGGCGGCGTAGGGCGTGGGGCCGAGGAAGTGGAAGGAGAAGACGGGGGAGCACTGCGAGCCGGAAAGCACACGGTAGTTGTAATGGCCCGTGGGGATGGAGGCAGGTAGTTGTGCCGTGTGCACCCAATGGGATGATGACACCTGGACAGGTGAGACAGGTGCATGTGTGTATGCGTGTGTGTGTGTGTGCGTGAGAAAGAGAGAGAGAGAAAGGTGGAGCGGAGGATGAGGAAGGTGGATGAGTCAAGAAAGGAAATGGGGGGAAACGGGGATGGGACAAGGTCGGTATTAAAATCACCAGCGGATTTGCATAGCATTTTAACGTATGCAGAGCAGGCAGGCAGGAAGAGCAGGAAGAGCAGGCAGGGCAGGAAGAGCAGGAAGAGCAGGAAGAGCAGGAAGAGCAGGCAGGCAGGAAGAGCAGGAAGAACAGGCAGGGCAGGCAGGAGGCAGAGGCGGAAGTTTCCCACTGACCTGCACAGAGCTAGTAGCTGGTACCATCCAGCTGCCATGACTCGCTGCTCCTTCCACACCCCCACCCTCTCTACCTCCCCACCTCCCGCCCCACTCATTTCCCAAACCCTCTCTGCTTGCCCCAGCTTCTTGCTCCCTCCCCACACCATCAGCGCCCATTCCTGTTCCCCCACCCGCACCCCCACCCCCACCTCCTGCCGCTCCTCCTCCCCCTCCCTCTCCCCCTCCCCCTCCTGGTGCTACCGACGCATTACCGGCACTGCTGCCCCCAGCAGCACCCGCGTCAGAGGCGGACACATAGCCAGCTGCTCTTCTCCCCAGCGGCTCACTGCCCCAACCCGCCCTTCCACCCACATGCTGCTGCTGCTGCTTGTCCAGCTGCTGCTGCTGCTGCTGCTGCTGCTGCTGCTTGTGCTGGCCCTGTGCGGCCGAGCAGGCATCTTGAAGGATGGCACATGCAGGGGAGGCTGCCCCTGCTTTCATGACTCGATGCTTCTGCCGCACTCTGCAAGGGGGAGGAGGAGAAAGCACGTGCCGCGGTGAGGGAGTGGAAGGTGGAAATGTGGGGCACGGCAAGCGAAGTAGGGGAAAAGGGGGAAGAACGAGGGAGGAGAGGGACGGATCAAGAGGGTAATAGCTATCTGCAAGCGCTTTGCAGCCCTGTTACCTCACCCCGACCAACGCTCAACCCCTTCTCACCCCTCATCCCCTTTTCCTTTTAATCCCCTGAACCCCGTACCCCTGAACCCCCCCTCTCCCTGTGCTATGTCCCAAGTCGTGCTGGAGGTGGGGCCTGTGGCACGCAGATGCTGTGCACCTGCACCAGGTTCCAGTTGCTCTCTGTCCCGCTTGTGATAAGTCGATTTTCGAGTCGACTCAAAAATCGACTTATCACACACCAGTTGCTCTCTGTCCTGCTGCACCGATTTTTCAGGTGGAGGTGGTGGTGGTGGTGGTGGTGGTGGTGGTGGTGGTGGTGGAGGTGGTGGTGGTGGTGGTGGTGGTGGTGGTGGTGGTGGTGGTGGTGGTGGTGGTGGTGGTGGTGGTGGTGGTGGTGGTGGTGGTGGTGGTGGTGGTGGTGGTGGTGGTGGTGGTGGTGGTGGTGGTGGTGGTGGTGGTGGTGGTGGTGGTACTGGTGGAGTGAGTGTGTGCAGCACGCACCTGCACATGACCACGCTGTGTTGCACCACGTTGCAGTTGCTGTCCCACTGCACTGACAGCTGCGCCACCCCAAACGCGTGGCCTTGTTCCGCCGATGCAGCGGGAGCGGATGAGGACGAGGAGGAGGAGGGGTGAGAAGAGGCAAGGGGCACGGAGATGTTGCCCCAGATCTCCTCCCTCTCCTCCCCTTTCGGCTCTCGGGCAGTGTAAAACAACCGTGGACCTGCCCGAATCATACAAGTCAGTACAACAGGGGCCGATGCTGCTGCTGCTGCTGCGGCTGCTGCTTCTGTTGATGTTGCTGCTGTAGAGTTCTTGGAATAAGAGGAGTTTTCTACACAAGGAAAGGGGAGCGGGAGAAGGGAGGAAAAAGTGGCGAGATAAGGAAGGTGTCATGGAAGTGTCATGGAAGTGTCATGGAAGTGTCATGGAAGTGTCATGGAAGTTGCCGTAAACCTGATGGAGGAATTTTGAGACGTCTCTACGCTCACAAATAAGACAAAGGGATTAGGTTGGCAAAAAAAAACAATTTCTTTCTGTGACACCAAACAAGCAGAAACCCATGTTGCTTCAGTTTTGTGGGAAGCGGGGACCAGAGATCAGAGGGCAGAGGTGAAGGAAAAACTGAAGAGGCAAGAGAGAAGACAGGAGAGCGGAAAGGGGAAAGGAGAAAAGGGAGAGCGAAGAAAAGAGAGGGGAGAGAGAAGGAAGAGGAGAGAGGGGAGAAGGGAGTGCGGAGACAGGAGAGGGGAGCGTGAAGAGGAGCGAGGGAGAGGGGAAATGCACGAGGGGAGTGAGGAAGCCCTTTGACCCACAAAGCTCCTACCTTGATCCCTGCTGCTGAGCACAGCAGGCGAGCCTTGACCCAGGAGAGAAGAATGGGTGGGATACATGAGAGACAGCTTTACAGCCACGCCCCCTGCCGCCTTTGAGTCAACTCAAAAAGCTCCTACCTTGATCCCCGCTGCTGGGCACAGCAGGAGAGCCTTGACCCAGGAGCGAAGCATGGGTGGGATACATGAGAGACAGCTTTACAGCCACGCCCCCTGCCGCCACTGCCCCACGGGGCCCCTTCCCAACTCCATCCCCAGCAGCACCGCCGGTGCTGGCACTGGCAGCACCACCCGTGGCAGCAGCAAGAGCGGCAGCAGTTTCTGCTGTTTCTGCTATTTCTGCTGCTGCTGCTGTTGCCGCGTCAGGGGGCAGGTCGCCAAGAATCGGGAAGGACGGAGGTGCGCAGAGGTCTACAGAGAGATACCGGGCTGATGGAGGCACCTGGTGCGGGGCATTGCAGAGGGGTGGGGTGCGGTGGAAAGGAGGGACAGAGTTGATGCACAGGGCATAATGCACACGGGGTTGGAGCGGGATAACATGTGTGCTTAGCTCCTTGAGCAAACCATGCACGCATTGAAAAGAGCTGATTGAGTTTCATTCTGCTAGATTCAGATCCTCACATCCCATGCTGCCATGACCCCATGCGTCCATGCTCACACTCTTTCTCCCCACTAACTCACTTACCAGTGCCACCAGCGGCCCCACATCGCGTTGCCTCGTAATGCTCTGCCCCACCGCTCCCACCCGCACCAACTCCTCCCCTGCCTCCCCTCCCTCCCCCACAGGAAACCTCCCAGAACTTCCCTTCTCCTGCTGCGAGCCCCCCACCCGCGCGCTCTCTTCACTTCCCCTTGCCCCCTGCCCGTCCCCCCACAGCGCCACAGACAGCACCACGCGCTGGGTCTCCACCAAGCCCCGCTCAATTGCCCCTGAATCCTTCCGCCATCCCTCTCTTGGCGCCTCCTCCGCTCCCCCCCCTGCTCCCGCCCCCCCTACTCCTCCTGCTGCACCTCCCTCTCCCAATCTCGCTCCTGCTGCTGCTCCTGTTGTTGCTCCTGTCACTGCTCCTGTCCCCGTCCTCCCTTCTTCTCTTCTGTCGTCACCTTCTGCCCCCTCTCGCTTCACGCTTTCTTGCCCTTCCCCTTCTCTTCGCTGCCCCTCGCCCGCATCCGCAGTCTCATTGCCCCCAATGCCCCCACCCGCTCCCACTCCCGCCCCCAGTCCCGCTCTGAGTCCCTCCCCCATCTGCAGCAGCACAGACACGTAAACTGCGCCGCTTCCGCCAGTGCCCCTCATCTCCGCCACCTCCCGTATCCGCGCGCGGACGTCTGTGGCCCACCGCCGGCACACCAGCCCGTGCGCGCCCCGCCACAGCAGCGTGAACTCCCGCGAGTCGTTCCCAGCAGAGCCGGCGGACGCGGAGGCGGAAGGGAGAGGGGTAGCGGGGACAGGAGAGTCCGTGCGGATGCGCTGGGAGCGGGGGAATTGGCGCGCAGCTGCTGAGGAGGCTGAAGAAGAGGACGAGGAAGGGGATGGATCTGCAGCATCCGGAAGGGAGGAGGATGGAGGTGGGCGGAGGAGTATGGAGCGGTCGAGAGGGAGCAGGAAGGTGGCGGCGGGGAACAGATCAGTATCCACGTGGATGCATGGCGGCACCGCCTTGTCCTGTTGCGGCTGCGCCTGCTCGTGCCAGCGCCACGCACGGGTGAACGGCGCAGCGGGAAAGGGGCGGGGGTGAGTGGGGAGAGGGGATGGGAGGAGGGTGGGGAGAAAGGTGGGTTTGGGGTGGTGGTGTTGTGCTAACAAGTTGTTATTTATCTCCCAATTGGGGCGTGAGGAGCGGAGGGACGAAGCGCAGGTCGAGGCGCGAAGGAGACCCAAGTGAATTGGCAACGTCACGCACATTCTCGGAATCACGGGGAAAGATAGGGGAAGAGCAGAATGAGAAAGAAGGCGAGGGAGGTGTGAGGAGGGGGGAGAGGGGGCAGGAGGGAGGGCTACGCATGCAGCTTCCAACGAACCCCTCTTTTTCATGCACGCTCGTTCGGCCCTCAGACGCACCTCTCCGAATCCAGTGACCATGGCGAGCGAGCGCGCTTGCTGCAGCACGTGCAGCGCGCGGATGGACAGCGACGGCAGCTGCTGCCGCGCGGCATTCTCCAGCAGCAGATCCGCGGACGAGCCCCCCCCGCCCGCAGTCCCCGCCGCAGCCGCCGCGTCGAGCAGCTGCGAGGGGTCCATGGGCGCATCGACGCTGTACAGCAGGCGCATCAAGCAGATCACCGACGTGAAACACGCCAAACCGCCGCCCACCAGAAACACCGTCATAACTCGCCGCATGCTGAAAATTCCCCGCCATCCGCCGCCGCCCCCCCCCCCGCCGGCACCAAACGCGGTGGATCGTTGCGGCTTCCGCGGGGAGTGGTTGGGGAGTATGGGCTTGCGCTGCTTGCTGGGCGTGTTCTTGATGGGGAGTCCTCCGCGCATGGTGGAGCGCGCGACGGGCGGTGAGAGTGGACTATGGGGAGAAGATTAGGGTTTGATTGAAGGCGGTGATCATGGTGGGGAGGATGGAGACGGAGACGAGCGTAAGAGGACTCGCAGTGATGGAATTTAGAGCGGGAGGAAGGGACGAGGGCGGACCACACGCACCGCCGTCTAGGGATTGACGCGTGGAGCCTGCCAGGTATGACGCTGCGCGCTATTTGATAATAGATTCTACGCTGGTAGATCGTTAGGGTATGACTAGAACGTAGCCTCTGCGCGCCTATCCAGTACGCGGTAATTCGACAGGTCACGCCGCAATTCAGGAAGAAACTCAGAAACTTGGCCTATCTTCTGCCCTTAGGACACAATAACGCCTTGATGCTGATCCTGACGCTGCCGTTATTGCATCGCGATTGGCCCGAGGTTACGTCAGAAGAAGCTACTGGAGGGGGGGCGTTGCTGCAAGTCTGATGTGCCGACTGCACGTCGTATCAGGGTTGATCTGAGCCGTTCCGGCGGTCGGATTGGACGATCGCGAGTGGTGGCGCACGCTGTCAGATCGGAGCGAGGGAAAAAATAAACAGTATCAAGAAGAAAGTGACGCCTCTCTTGCCAGCCAGGCCATGCAATCCCGATCCTAAGAACAAAATAACCGATCCATGGAACCTACTTCACCAAGCGTGCTTCTGCTCTTCTAGCGGAAACTAGACCAATTGGCCAAAGAAGCGGAGGCCAGACCGGAAATTCTAGTGAGCGAGCAAGTCACGGCTTCGAGACAGTGAACCAAAGCGCGGTTATCAAAAAGGAGGTGCCATGGATACTGTAACATGACAGTGCAGCAAAAGCTGCGCACTAAGGTGTGCGGGGAGAACCTGTAGCTCTGCACGTTGCATGCATCCTAGAGCTTGGGGAGCGGACCGACAGATTTGTACGACGACGATGGGGCACCCACTAGCGGGAATATTCTTCGGTGTATCCGCTATAAGCAGAAGAGTTTGGGTCACAAACGAGGGTCGTTCATCCAGCTACAGAGAAATCATAACTTTCCTCTCAGGTTTAGTTTGATTGACAGGTTAAAATTCAATAGGCGTGGGGTAGTGCTGGTGGATCCAATCACAAGCCAGCCGAGGTGACTCTGTCGAGGGAGCTGGTCCCCACAGTCCCCTCCTGAGCTCCCTCGATATTCTCCCTCCTCCGCCCAACCTCCCTCCCAACCCATCCGAACCTCGATTTTTCCGAGACAGCTCTGCCTGCTTCTCCTGCACTGCACTGCACCGCCCCTGCCTTCACCAGCGTGTCCCCCCACTGGCCTTGGATTGAATCCCACGGTCCCCGTCCGCTTATCCAGCCAGCCAATTCTCGCTTTACATTCATACCACGCCGCCACGGCCAGCCACGGCTAGCCACGGCCATAACTCCACGTCATGTGATCAGCACACCGCGAGCTCGCATGTAGGATTCTTATTCCGCTCAGCCACAGCTGCAGTTGCGAATCGCAACTATACCTGCCCTTGTTCTGCTTGCGCAGCAGCAAGGGAGCATTTTTCCGTAGTTGAGTCAATGCCACTTCCGTCGACGTCGCCGCTGCCGCTGCCGTCGCGATCGTTGTCGCCGTGCTGTGCGTGGGTCCCTTCGATTCAGAAACAGCTCCGGAGCGCTTAGGCCGAATCCGTGTGAAGCCGCCTTAGATTCGCCAACCCAGGCACCTCATCTTGAGTCCTGCTAGTCCACGCGCGTCAGGTCGAATTGCAAAAGCCACGCGCGACATTACCGTCACCGTCAGAATTGCACGCGCCGTCGTTGCTCTTATATAATCTCACATTCGCGCAGCGTCGAGCGGCCATGGGGCTGTACGACGCGGTGGCAGGCATGGCGGTGCGCCTGCTGGACATCATCAGCACGTACCTGCAGGTCCCCTTCTTTCGAGTCAATTTCCTCGACTTAACCGTTGACGGTACGCGCATCCCCAATCCTGTCCCCTCCCGATCCTGTCCCCTCGGGATCGGTGGTTCCGAACTTACAGCTAGCGCTCGCGTCAGATCCACGCGCGTATGGGGCGCCTGGCGTGATTGGAGCTGAGGAAACCCCTGGCATTGCGTTCCTGTCACGCTCCGCACATCCGTCATCCTCTGCGTCGCATCGCATCTCCTTGCCTCTCGTCACTCCGCTTGTTCATTTGCTAACCTGATGGCGTGCTTTCCTAATTGCGTGCATGGTGCTCGTTCATGCGTCTGTCTGGCTGTGCTGTGCTCTGCTGTGCGGCGATTTGCGGTGCTGTGCGCGTGCGTGCGATCTGGCTGTGCGCGGCAGGCCATCTGATCCTGGAGACCATTCTGCTCGTCGCCATCGTCGTCCTCATGTCGCAGAAGAGTTACAAGCCAGACAAACGATCGCTCACTGAAACGGTCAGCCACCCCACTCCGCTCTCCTCTGCCTTCCACCCGTTCTTTCTCCTCTCCTCCACTCACGCCTTTAATTTCCCTTCACGTACTGTGTGCATCGTTGCATAATAACCAGCGGCCCTCTCTTTTGCATCCTGTTATCTTGTTTTAGCTTGCAACCATCGCACAATACGTCCCTGACCCAAACATGACGTGTGCTTCACTGCTCTGCACTGTACCCCTCTGCACTGCACCCCTCTGCACTGCACCCCTCTGCACTGCACCCCTCTGCACTGCATCCTGTGTGCGCTGTTGCGTGCGCGAGCAGGAGGTCGACACCCTGTGTGAGGAGTGGGTGCCTGAGCCGCTGCACCCGCCCGCTCCTCCTCAAGCCCTCGCCCGCCACGTGCCCGTGCTCGACAAGTGAGTCAAGAGGGGAGTCCTGGCCCTGGAAGGGAAGTTGCCTTGTTTTGAACAGCTGACTACTGGAGCTGGAGGGTGGGATGGGGCAGGTAGCGATGGGGGCCACGTTTGTTGGTGCTGTGCTGTGAGTAAGCATCTAGTTCCACTCCACCTCTCATTCGTGCTTCGGTAAGTTTCTCATGCCTCCCCATCGCTCCCTTCTTCCCCGCCCCCTACCCCCTACGACCACCACCGCCGGTCGCGGCCTCCCTGGCACGGTGCAGGGCGGGAGAGCCATGGACGGTGGCAGACGGGCGCAAGATGCTGAATCTGGCGTCTATGAACTTCCTGGGGCTCATTGGCAACACGCATGTGCAGGTCAGCGCACTGTGCCTTGATGTGTGTAGAATCTGTAGATGTGTAGCATGTGACGTGTGCTGTGCTGTGCCATGCCATGTGCCATTTTCCATGTGCCATGTGCCGCGTGCCGCGTGCCTTGTGCCATGTGCCCCTTGCCATGTGCCTTGTGCCATGTGCGCCACACGCCCTCTACTCCCGCCGCCCTTCCTTCTCGTATCTTACTGCGACTCCTTCCTTCCCCCTCCCCCGCCCATCCCCTGACACACTGCCCTGCATGCATCGCCCAGGATGCGGCCACAGCGGCCCTGCACAAGTACGGGGTGGGCTCGTGTGGCCCGCGTGGATTCTACGGCACCATAGGTATGCTTTGGGTTGGGTGTCTGTCACGTGGACATGCTGTGTGACTGACTGTGTCCCGTCCCGTCCACTCTGTGCCATCCGTTGGGGCCACATGACTCTCTCTACAAGTCGCATGCCTGCCAGCCCCCAATCTGCCCAACTCGCCACCAGCACAGCACCTCTCACCACATTACGGTCCCCGCAATCTGCTGCACACCAATATCTCCTTCTTCCGCCCGTCGGCCCACTCACTCCATTGCTCACTTCTCTCCCCTCACGTCTCCTCTTCCTCCATCCCCCCTCGTCACCCTCTCCCCCTTCCCCCCTTCCCCTTTTCCCGTCTTACTACCTTCCCCATTTCCCTCCTTCCCCCTTACCCCCATTCCCCGATCCCCCCCGTCCCCTTTCCCCCCATTCCCCGTCCCTCGCTTCCCTGGGTGGGCATGCCGGGGTGGGCGGGGCAGACGTGCATCTGGATCTGGAGGAGCGCATAGCGGCGTTCATGGGTGTGGAGGGGTGCATTCTCTACTCCTACGGCTTCTTCACCCGTTCCCCTGTTCCCTCCCCCCCCTCTCCCTTCCCCTTTTCCACCCGGGCTGGTCGTGGCGGGGTGTGGCTATGGCAGACGTGCATCTGGATCTGGAGGAGCGCATAGCGGCGTTCATGGGTGTGGAGGGGTGCATTCTCTACTCCTACGGCCTCGCCACTGTCGCCTCCACCATCCCCGCCTTCTGCAAGCGCGGCGACCTTATTATTGCGTGCGCACGCACCCCTCCCACGCGCTTCCCCTACCCTCTCCCCTCTCCTCTTCTCCTCGTCTCCTCTCCTCCCCTCATCCTCTGCTCCACTTCTCCTCTCAGCCTCTGGGCCCCTTCTCCTCTCCCTCTGTTTCCTCCCATCCTTATAATTTCTGTTCGTGCTTTGCCCTCCTCATCACATCACAACACAATCATGAAATCAAATCATTCAACCATCAATCCGCCTCCTGGTTGCCATCCTTCCCCCTCCCCGCTCCCCCGCGGCCCGCGCACTCCCCTCTGTCCCTCCCCACACCTTCCATCCCTCATCCTCTTCTCCCGCGTCAATTCCCCTCTTCTGCTGATCTCTACCGCCCTTGCGGCTATGTGCGGTTGGGTACTGTTCTGTGCGGTGGCAGTGACGAGGGAGTGGGGTGGGCGATGCAGAACGGCATGACACTGGCGCGCAGCACGGTGCGCTACTTCCGCCACAACGACATGCGTCACCTGGAGCAGCTGCTGCAGCAGCACGCTGCCGCCGACCGCAAGAGCAACAAGACCGACATCCGCCGCTTCATTGCCGTTGAAGCTCTGTACCAGGTGACAGGGGGGGCAGAGGAGGGGGATGGGGGGGTAAGGGGTGGGTGGGGGAAGGAGAGAGGGAGAGGGAGAGGGAGGAGAAGAGAGTGAGGGGAAGGGTTGCAGAGTGAGCAGGAGGAGGGAGGAGGGAGGAGGGAAGGGAGAGGCCAGTGCAGTGCACGTATGAGCTGTGGGAAGAGAGTGTGCTTCCGCCACAACGACATGCGTCACCTGGAGCAGCTGCTGCAGCAGCACGCCGCCGCCGACCGCAAGAGCAACAAGACCGACATCCGCCGCTTCATTGCCGTTGAAGCCCTGTACCAGGTGCTGGATGCGGGGGAGGGGACGGGGGACGCGGGCGGGGTTGTGAAAGGACCCACTCCATCCGTTCTCTCTCGCTCTTTCTTCCTCCAGTTTCTCTCCCCACCACTCTCTCCTTCCGCGCCCTCCTCCCACCCTCTCCCCTTCAATCGCTCCTCCCACATCCTCTCTCTCCCGCGCATATCAGTGCTCCGGGGAGCTGCTATTCCTGCCGGAGCTGGTGCGGCTGAAGGAGAAGTACAAGTTCCGCATAATCGTGGAGGAGAGCCTCTCGTTTCTTCAGGCAACTCAAAAATTCCTCCCTTCACACCCTCTCTCACTCCCACTCACGTCAGTGTTCCGGCGAGCTGCTACCCTTACCGGAGCTGGTGCGGCTGAAGGAGAAGTACAAGTTCCGCATCATCGTGGAGGAGAGCCTCTCGTTTGGCGTGCTGGTTGCCACTCTCTCCCCGCACACTCCTCCCAAATGCTCTTCCCCCACTCCCCGACGCCCTCTCTCTCTTCCACTCATGGCAGTGTTCGGGCGAGCTGCTACCCCTGCCAGAGCTGGTGCGGCTGAAGGAGAAGTACAAGTTCCGCATCATTGTGGAGGAGAGCCTGTCCTTCGGCGTGCTGGGGCCCACGGGGCGCGGCATATCAGAGCACTACGGCATGCCCGTGACCAACATTGACATTATTGTCGCTGCTATGGGCACTTCGCTTGCTTCTGTTGGAGGGTTCTGCTGTGGCAGCGCCAAGGTGGTGGATCACCAGGTGAGACATGTGCTGTGTGTGCGCGCTCCTGCTGCTCCCTGTGCTCGTGCTTGCTTGCTGCGTGCTTCTTGCTTCCGTGCCTGCCTGCTTCCGTGCCTGCTTGCTTCCGTTCCCATCCCATCCCCATCCCATTACTCTCCATCTCCCTCCTCTCCTGCCCCATCTTGCATGCTCCATCCTCCTCCGCTCATGCTTCCGCGCCCTATGCTCCCTCTCTTACCTGCCTGTGCCTCTTACCCTCCCGGCAGCGGCTGGGCGGCATGGGGTACTGTTTCTCAGCGTCACTGCCACCGTTCCTGGCGTCTGCAGCCATGGCAGCGCTGGATGAGATGGAGGCACGCCCCAATGCACGCTCCCTCCTGCAATCTAACGCCAGCACCTTCCGGGAAGGTCAGTTGGTGCCGTGTGCTTGGCAGCGCTGTGTGTTGGGCGCTGTGCGTGCGGACACGGGAGAGGAAGTCAAGGCAACAGCGAGAGGGGTATTAGGAGGGGAGAAGACAGCTTGTTACTGGGTTGATGAGGAGAGTGTGTGGTTCGTGGGAGGGTGTTCTTTCTACGGTGTTGCTTCAGAAACCCTCCCCCCTGCCTTAATGATACATGAGAAGCACCAGTCCTGTATGCCATGGGGATGCATGCTTATACCACATAGCTTCTACCCCTTCTCACATCCCATGCCATCTTCCCCCAACCCCTCCTCCCCAATCCTGCAGCCATGGCGACCCACTGCCCTGATCTGGAGGTCCATGGCCATTCTGTGTCGCCAGTGGTGCTGCTGCGGGTGCGCAAGGGAGCAGGCGCAGGGGGCGCGGTGCAGGATGGGGAGGAGGAGCCTGCCGTGCTGCAGAGGATAGTGGATGAGGTGAGCGCGGGGGTGGTGTGAGCTGGGCTGCTAGTCTTGTTAAAAAAAAACTCAGAGTATCACTCTGTTTCAGCCTGTCGTTTGCTGTCATTTGCTGCCACCCGCCTGCCGTGCTGCAGAGGATAGTGGATGAGGTGAACGCAGGGGTGGTGTGTGCTGTGCTGCTGAACTTAGGGAAAAAAATAAGTATTGCTTGTCTTTTTGAATACTCATGCATGGAGCATTATTCAGGGACTTGAACTGTTTTGTCTCAGCCAGCTGTTTTCTGCCACCCTCCTTACCGCATTCCCCACTTCACTTACTTGCACGGTGCACCCACCCCTCCCCCTTATCTTGCACTGCAACTGACAAATCTTCTCCCCCCTCTTTCTTCTGTGTGGTGTCGCGTGCTTGCTTCTCCTGTCCGTGTGTCAGATGCGGGAGGGGGAGGATGTGCTGGTGAGTGTTCCGCTGCGCTCTCCTCTCGACATATGCCCCTTGCCGGCGGGCATCCGGGTGTGCATGTCCGCAGGGCATTCGCAGGACGACATGCTGCTGGCAGCTAAGGCCTTTGGCCGGGCAACTGCTCGTGTGCTCGGTTCAGAAGCGTCTAGCTGATAGCGTGGGTGCGAGCTAGGGTTTGCGCTGGTTGGTTCTGTCAGCTGGCACCGCAGGGTTGGGTTGGGGTGGGAAGGAAAGTGAAGTGAGCCTGGCTTGGCCAAAGTGCTTGTGATTGTTCTTTTCTTGGCTGAGTATGCACATTGGTACACTGTGCATATACAGGCAGGCACACTTGTTTCCTGTGCTTGGTTAAGGAATAAGGTCACAGTTATGTGGAGTCAATTTAAGTGGTGTGCAAGATATTCTCTCGCTAGGCCTTTTATTGATCTGTTCCTAGTCCTGAAAACGAAATTTCAGTTCTATGGCTCATATTTGTGCAGGAATTCGCCATCGTTACTTCGCGAAGCTATGCGAAACTGCCCTATCCTCCACTCCCCATCCTTGCTTCAGTAGCGCCTCAATAAAGAGCCAATTGCGCCCGCAGCCTCGTTGTAACGGTTGCAGAGTCACAGTCACGGGCCAGTAACGCTGGGTTACCTTCCCGGGCCCGCCATCACGGCGCACGCGCTGAGGCGCCTCTCCATGGCCACAGTTTCCGCCTTTGCGCCCACCTTCTCCCCTGCGCACTGCCTGCACCGCTCCGCCGCAGCCTCCGCCGCGACGCCGTTGCGCCAGGCCCGCGCGCTCATGGCGGGGGCTATGGGCGTTTTGCGAAATGCGGCGGTTCCCCGTAGTACTGGTATTAGCGGGACTGCGCGCCAAGGGGTAGGGATATTGGAACGCGAAACCACGGCGCAGGGACGTGAAAGCGGAGAAGTTAGTCTATACCGCCGCGACGCGGGACTAAATGGCGGCAGTTTTAGCCTTGAGAGAAGAATGCGATTGGTCAGCGTGGATTGCGGCAGCAGCAGCACCACCAGCCGCCAATGCAGCGCCGTTTCGCGCCAAGCGCAAAGATCGGCGCTCGCGCTCCGCCATCGCTGCTTCGGATCAACGGTCGGTCCGCTGCGAGGCAGCCACCACCCGCAACGCAGCCACTTTTCATTCCATCCAACCGCTCTGCCACTATCCGGCCCCACACTCCCCAGCAGCAGCAGCAGCAGAAGTTCCTGCGGCGGATTCAACCGGGAGAGTGGTTTCAGAGGGGTTTGCGCGCGGGCTGGCGCGAATGTGGACACGAGTGCGACGGCGACGGAGGAGCAGAGGGGAGGAGCGGGCGTGGACACGGGGGAGGAGGCAACTGCCAGCGGGGCAGTGAATGGCGAGGAGGCAGCGCAGCAGGCGAGCAGGACGGGCAAGGGAAAGCAGAAGGGGGATGTGAAGGCGACTGAGAAGAGGAAAGGGAAGGGGAAGGGTGAGGTGGTGAGGCTGATGCTGCATAACACGATGAGTCGGAGTAAGGAGGAGTTTGTGCCGCTACGGGCGGGGCACGTGGGCATGTATGTGTGCGGTGTGACTGTATACGATTACAGTCACATCGGACATGCCCGCGTGTACGTCTCTTTCGACGTCCTCTACAGGTGTGTTGAGGGGAGAAAGGGGGGGGGGGGAGGGGGGGGGGGGGGGGAGGGGGGGGGGGGGGGGAAGCGGAAGTGAGAGAGAATGTGGGTGTGTGTGTGGGGGGGAGGGAGGGGGGAGGAGAAGGGGGGAAGGGGGTTGGGTTGTGTGTTCACTACAAGTGTGCGAGTGTGTGTCCTCTCCTCTAGCACGTCTCCATCGTGCCCAAGAAAGGCTCTTCCGCTTTCCTCTCTCTTCGTTTCCCTCCTTTGTCCCCAGTCTCCCTAGTGGCTTGGCTTCCTTTGTGACTGCCTGAAAGCATCCACGTGTATAATGTCTCTCATCTGTGGTGCGTCTATGCGCCCCTATATGCGCGCCCATGTGCGTGCGTGCGGTTCCCTTCCCACTCTGTGTGGCCAATGGCCATGTATGTGCACCAGGTATCTGCAGCACATGGGGTACAACGTCACGTATGTGCGCAACTTCACGGATGTCGATGACAAGGTGCTTCTTGAGAATTCTCAAATCCCATCCCATGCATGCATCTGCTGCTGTTGCCACTGCCGCCGCCGCCGCTGCTGCTGCAGCAGCAGTGCTTCTTTCGAACCCTTCCATCCATTCGATACACCATCCATCTGTGTCCGTCCATGCAAGCCCGCTGCAGCAAAGCACGTGTCCGTCCCTCTCCACCTTATCTCTCCACCTCCCGCCTCAGATCATCAAGCGTGCATTGGATCTGGGCGAAGATCCGCTGCATCTGAGCCGTCGGTTCATCACAGAGTTCCATGCGGACATGCATGCACTGGGGTGCCTGCCCCCCACGCATGAGCCCAAGGTGTCAGAACACATCCCTGACATCATCCACATGATCCAACAGGTGCTATGCCCTGCCCTGCCCTGCCCTGCCCTGCCCTGCCCTGCCCTGCCCTGCCCTGCCCTACTCCTTGCCCCTCATCATACCATTCCATACTTTACTGTTTTTGAGTCGACTCAAAAAGTGTCTGCCCCCCACGCATGAGCCCAAGGTGTCCGAGCACATCCCTGACATCATCCACATGATCCAACAGGTGCGCTTCCTTGCCCTCATCATGCCACGCCATGCCCTACCATGACATGCCCTACCATGACATGCCCTACCATGACATGCCCTACCATGACATGCCCTACCATGACATGCCCTACCATGACATGCCCTACCATGCCATCCCATGCCATGCCATACTACTATCCCATGCCATACCATGCCATGCCAGACCATACCATGCCTTACCATACCATGCCATACCATACCTCACCTATGACATGCATTCAACCACCCATGCTGTGCCATGCTCCATTGCACTGCCATGCCACGCCATGCTCTTACTTCTCCATAGCTCCACCCCCACCCCCTTCTCACCTCTCAACCATGCGCCTCTCTCTCCCTCTCTTTCTCGCCAGATAGTGGATTCGGGTGCAGGCTATGTTGTGGATGGCGGAGATGTCTTCTTTGATGTGGACAAAGCGGAGGGGTATGGCCAGCTGTCGGGGCGGCGGCAGGAGGAGAACCGGGCGGGCGAGCGGGTGGCAGTGGACGAGAGGAAGAGGAACCCGGCTGACTTTGCCCTCTGGAAGGTGCCTGCTGTGCTGCCTGCTGTGCTGAGTGCTGTGCTGAGTGCTGTGCTGAGTGCTGCATGCTGTGCTGCATGCTGCTTGCTGTGCTGCATGCTGTGCTGCATGCTGCTTGCTGTGCTGCATGCTGCTTGCTGTGCTGCTTGCTGTGCTGCATGCTGCTTGCTGTGCTGCTTGCTGTGCTGCATGCTGCTTGCTGTGCTGCATGCTGTGCTGCATGCTGCTTGCTGTGCTGCATGCTGTGCTGCATGCTGCTTGCTGTGCTGCATGCTGCTTGCTGTGCTGCTTGCTGTGCTGCATGCTGCTTGCTGTGCTGCTTGCTGTGCTGCATGCTGCTTGCTGTGCTGCATGCTGCTTGCTGTGCTGCTTGCTGTGCTGCTTGCTGTGCTGCATGCTGCTTGCTGTGCTGCTTGCTGTGCTGCTTGCTGCTTGCTGTGCTGCTTGCTGTGCTGCTTGCTGTGCTGACTGCTTCCTGTCTTTCCCCCCTCTTCTCTCTGCAGAGTGCCAAGCCGGGTGAGGTGTCGTGGGCCAGTCCGTGGGGTGCGGGGCGGCCGGGGTGGCACATAGAGTGCAGCGCCATGAGCAAACGCTACCTGGGCTTCCGATTTGACATCCACGGGGGTGGGCGCGACCTCATCTTCCCCCACCATGAGAACGAGCTCGCTCAGAGCAAAGCGGCGGCGGCAGCGGCGGCGGCAGCTGGTGGTGATGGTGCTGTTCAGGCGCAGCAGCATGTGCAGCAGGACGAGCAGCAGCAGCAGGAGGAGCAGCAGGAGGGGTGTTTGCACTGCGCAGCAGAGCATCGGGGCGAGGAGGGGGAGGCGTGTGGGGTGTCGGTGTGGCTGCACAACGGCTTTGTGAATGTGGACTCGGAGAAGATGTCCAAGTCCCTCGGGAACTTCTTCACCATCCGCGAGGTCAGCTGCACACTGCCCTCCTTTGATGCACCATGGGGGGAAGGGGGCGGTGTGGGGGAGAGGGAGGAGGGGAGGGGGAGGGGGGGAGGAATGGGGGTCATCAGCAGAACGTTACCTTTCTTGCTCCCTCGCCCTCGTTACCCTACCCCTCCTCTATCCTCCTCATCACTCTCCCCTCCCCACATCCTCCTCCTTCCGACTCTTCTCCCAATTCTCAATCCTCCCCTTCATTCCTATCCCACCCCACGCTCGATACCACGGCAGGAGCTTTTAAGAATTCCTGAAAGTGACTCAGATTGCTACCACGCTCGTTTGAAAGTGGCAGTGTACTAGTTCCTCCTCTTTTGAGACGCCTCAAAGCCGCCCCTCCACGCGCCACGCACCAGTTTTGAGTCGACTTCAAAGTTTACCCACCCCCCCCCCCCCTCTTTCCCCCCCCTCTGCACGGCAGGTGCTGGATCGTTTTCACGCGGTGACAGTGCGGTGGTTCCTGCTGTGCACGCACTACCGATCGCCCATCAACTACAGCGACCGCCAGCTCGACCGTGCCTCTGACCGCGTCTTCTACCTCTACCAGGTCCGTGCCGATCCATATTTATGCCAAACCGGTTTTGTGCCAAGCCGGGTTTGTTTCCAAACCGGGTTTATTGCCAAACAGGCTCCCGCTCTCAATCGCACTGACGCACTCCCCTCCTCTCGTTGCCCAACCTCCCCCTCTTAATCCATCCAGCTCTTGGCCGATTGTGAAACCGCCAACTGCCAGCAGCATCAGGCATCATCTGGTGCAGGCGCATCCAAGCCTCCTCCTGCGCCAGCCAAGGCAGCGGTAACAGCAGCGGCGCAGGTGCGGTTGGCGGCAGCAGCAGCGTTGGCGGATGATCTGCACACGGCGCAGGCAGTGGCAAGCCTGTCAGAGCCCCTCAAGCTCATGGCGGACCTGCTGGGGGCGAAGAAGGTCCGTCAGTGCGCACTTGACCACATGCCACGCACGTATAATCACGCACAGTGGCGCTACATGGGTGGGGATTGGGGAAGGGGTTTGGGGGTTAAGGGGAGAGGTTGGTGGGGGAAAGGGGAGTGGTTGGTGCATGTGAGGTTGATACGCGGTGGAATCAGGTCGCGTCTTTGAATGTTTTCACCTACCATCTGCGCGCTCTGCTGTTTGTTTCCGTGCTTTCACCCATCAACACGTTCCGAAGCTCATGTTGTGCCTGTCATGCCCTCTCTGCCCTCTCTGCCCTCTCTGCCCTCTCTGCCCTCTCTGCCCTCTCTGCTTTCTCTGCCCTCTCTGCCCTCTCTGCCCTCTCTGCCCTCTCTGCCCTCTCTGCCCTCTCTGCCCATGGCAGTACAAGAAGGATCCCGCCAGGGTGCCATCGCTCATGGTGCTGCAGGAAGCGGTGCTCTCCGTGCTCGCCCTCCTTGGCCTTCCCACCACTGGATTCTCCCCGGTTAGTCTCCACCACCGTTCTGCACCACCTCCCACCAGTATCTATGCCTAGCATCCATCTCTAGCAAGTGTCTCAAGCAGTAGTTTCCAGCACTTGCAGCCAGCGACTGCAAGAACTCACTCACAGCCACTGTCTTCATTGTCATTTACTCTGTCAGTTCGCTTGCTGAACCTTCCTACTCCCTCGCTCTCGCTCGCTGTGTCTTCCTTCCCCGCCTTCCCCACGCCAGCTGCTGGAGGAGCTGCGCCAGCTGGCACATCCTTGTGCTGCCTTGATCATTCCCTCTCTTACTACTCTTGCCGAACCTTCTCTCCCGCACACTCTCCTGTTCACTGTGCCTCCTCTCCTTCCCCGCCTTCCCCACCGCAGCTGCTGGAGGAGCTGAAGCAGCTGGCGCTGAAACGCGCAGGGATGAGCGCGGAGCAGGTGCAGGGGATGCTGGAGCAGCGCGATGAGGCGAGGAAGGCCAAGGACTTTGCACGGTCGGATGCGGTTCGTGATGAGCTGGCCCTGGTGGGAATCATGCTCATGGACACACCTGCTGGCACCGCCTGGAGGCCTGCTGCTATCTCTGCCCAGGATGATGCTGATGAATCTAGCGGGCTGGTGTGATGATACGGTAATAAACATGGCGATGTGTTGAGATGGCGATATGGTTAGAGAGAGCTATGGAGATGAAGGGGAGTTGAGCAAGGAAGGCTGACTCGGATGATTGAGATTCGTTTATGCAAGCCAATTCTACCGTAGGATGTGATCGTGTGTGTGTGAGCCCTCGGGAAAGTGCAATGGTGAAAATGATTAGTTGGTGAATATTTTTATATCTATGAATATCGGTGGCGTAACATTTACAGTATCGTGCGTCAGCAAATTGCCGTCCGTCTCATTGCCCTATGGTGTCATCTGCGAGGAAGAGAGGTTCGTTCGCATTCGCACCATTCATTCCAGCTGCGTCAGCAGCAGCACCACCATGCTCGTTCCCTCGCTCCCACCTGTTTAGTTGCGCTGCGCCTGGATGGACTCGTAACGCACATTCCGAGACTTCTCTCATTTTCTCGTCTTTCTCGTTCTACCATTCCTGCGCCGGAGAGAAATATTCAATCTACGTAGCTGCTGACGGACGTTTCAAGAATTCGCTCAACGAACAGGTTCGATAACCATCCCTTCTCGCGTTTTTCCTCCTCCAAGTTCCAACTCCTCCCAACCCCGCCGCTCCGCCCGCCATGTGTCGCCCGCAAGTGGACCGGCCGCTAGCGGCGCTCTCGCTGCTGCACCACCAGCTGCAGCAGCGCCGCCAGCCATGGCTCGCGCCCGATTGGTCCCCGCCGGAATCCGTGCCGGACGAGGCGGAGGCCGCCGCCGCGTGGCTGCGCTTCCAGCGGCGGCGCGTGCGGCTTCTCACGCGGCGAATGCGCTTCCTGCTGCTGCTGCTGCTGACGCTGGGCGTGCTGCAGATCTTCCTGGGTGCCTACGTGTCGTTCTGCTTCCACGTGGCTGTCGCTAAGCACCGCGCGAGGTGACTGCTGGCGGGTGGGACGCAAAATGGGGGAGTAGGTGGGGGGGAGGGAGGGAGGTTACGGGGAAGGACGGCGGGGATGATGGGGGAAGTAGAGGGGAACAGCGGGAGAAGCAGCGCACAGGCGCGACTTGTTACAGCCAGCATAGACCTGGCCACGTGGACAGGAACCGACACAGAATGAGATAAACAGACAGCATCACACACTCAATACCCACCTTCTTGGTCCAATCATTTTTTCCTGCATTTCCCACGATTCCCATCATTCAACGGTTGCCACTGCTGTGTGTGTGTGCGTGTGTGTGTCCTTTCGCAGAAACCAGGAGCTACAGCAGGCGCTGGTGCGGGCAGGGGAGGCGTGGGAGTGGCAGCAGCAGTGGTGGGCGCAGAGCAAGCGGGAGAGGGCGAGGGGGAGAGCAGGGCGAGGCAAGGACAGGGGCGAGGGGGCGCTGGGATTGCCTGCTGCTGCTGTCTCCCGCCCTGGCAGGTCCCTGCTTGCTATTGATTCCGCTCTCAATGCCGTGCAGATGACGCTACCTGGGGATACTGCTGCTGCTGCTGCTGCTGCTGCTGCTGCTGCTGCTGCTGCTGCTGCTGCTGCTGCTGCTGCTGCTGCTGATGTTTTTCAAGACGATGCTGGCGGTGGTGGTGCTGCCGATGCCTGCGCTCTCGGCAGTACTCCCACTGACGCTCGCCACTGTAACGGCAGCTCTTATGCCTCTCATCACCAATGTCACCTGCAGGATCATGCCGCCGCCCCTGCTGCTGCGCTCTCGGGACCCTGCTCCTGGGAGGGAGGCTCCAACCACCCGGGCCTACAGCAGCTGCTGGACTCGGCTGCAGCGGGGACAGCGAGGCAGCATCAAGAGAAGCAGGGGGGTCATGAGGAACGCGAGCAGGGTGGGGAGGGGTGCTGTGGGCCGGTAGCGGGAGGGGAGGAGTCGAGGTGCTGGGGTGCATGGGAGGAGGCGGACTTGGTAGGGGACTGCTGGTGGGAGGAGTCAGCAGCAGGTTGCTTGCTGGATCGACAGCTCACATGCAGGGGTAGTGGCAGCAGCAGCAGCAGCAGCAGCAGCAGCAGCAGCAGCAGCAGTGCGAGTAGCAAAATTCAGACCCTTCACATGCATTGTCAACCCCTAGCAACATGCCCTGTACCTGCCATTCCGACTCTCACCTCTCTTCTCTGCCCATCTCCTCCCCAACTGCCGTACACCCTATCGTGATGCACACTTGCTCTGCTGCCAACGTCCTACGGTTTTCCCTCATCGCACCAGTGTCTGATTTATGCGATGGGCTACAACTCACACATATGCCATGAATCCGTATGCTTGAGCCATGGCCCATGTGCCATGTGCCATGTGCCATGTGCCATGTGCCATGTGCCATGTGCATGTGCATGTGCCATGTGCATGTGCCGTGTGCATGTTCCCTTGTGGCAACGCACACTGGTAGCAGGGCTCCCGTTATCAGACCAATTTGGTCTGATGGTCTGAAAATCAGACCTGATTTTTCAGTTTCATCTGATTGGTAAGACCACCGATTTTTTTTTATATGAACTGTAAGACAGACATTTTTATTTCATCTGAGAAAAAAGACTAAGCGTTGTGTTTCGTCTTAAATTTCAGACATCGCGTATAGCATCATCTGATACCGACGAAGTACCCTTCCCCTCCCCTCCCCTCTCCTTGCCCCCTGTCCCTTCGAATCCCCCATGGTCCTACCCCTCAATCCAGCCCCTTCACCAATTCCCTCGCTCCTCGACCAGTCCAGCCACTTTCCATCCCCCCTCCCCCGCCCAACACCCCTGGTCCTTGCACCCCCCAAGCCCAGCGAGCCAGCCCCCTCCCCCCGTTCGTACGTAACACCAGCCCAGCCCCCCCAATTCAACTTCCCCCACCCACCCGGCCCATCGCGTGCCAGTAGAAAGACATGCGGTCCCCGTTCGCATGTCCCTTGCTGCCCAACCAGCCCCGCCCCCAATCGCAATGGGGTCAATTAGTGTATTACTATCTCAAGCAGAGCATCAAAAAATAATCGTCTGGAAAATCAGACATAGAGCCAGCATTCATCTTAAAAATCACAAAAAAAAAATGCCCATCTGAACGTCAGACGAAAGGTTTTTTTCTATTTGCCTTTTCAGACGGGCCTAAATCCTAGCAAGAGCCCTGACTGGTAGGCTATAGGTGATATTCTGGTGTATTACCCATGTACCATAGGCTAGGTAGCACACTGTCCTCTTGACCATGGATTCACTTCACATGATAGTGCCTCTTGTACCTTTAGCAAGCAAGCACTTATATTTGTTGTACGATCAATCCAACAAGTGCCCTATTTCCAGTCCAACAAGGTAAAGCAGTAGAGAACCGAGACCAATACATACACCCCTGCCCCTGCCACGAACCATCACAATGCATGCCTGCACTGCCTGCCATGCTAGTGCAATGAGCAGCGCCCTGCATGGCAGAGCAGAGCCGCCCCTTGTTGCACTACATCTACTGCACTCCACGGCTCGTCCAGATTCACGGCACTCCGGCAACTACCCTCCCCCAGCTTCCCCCTTCTGACCCGGCTGCATTCCCTTCTGGCCTTAACACACAACAGCAACCTTACGACCTGTGACCCCTGTTCCGATACGTCTCACAAAACCCTTTCCCCACCCCACCCCCCTTCCCCGTTCCCCCGTCAATTTCCTTTGGGTGCTTGTGCCAGAGCTGCACGCTCGAAATCAGCAGCAGCTGTTTCCGTCTCCTGGACGAGCAGCATGCGGGCCACTATGGCCGGGGGCAGGGCGAATGTGTCCACTCCTGCTGCTGCCAGCAACGACACCTCTTCTGGTTCCCTCACACTCGCCACCAGCACCCGCGTCGCACTGCCCGCTGCTGACACCGCTTGCTGGGAGGGATGGCAGTGGGAGAGGGGTTTGAAATGGGGTTTGGAATGGGGTTTGAAATGCTGCCAGCAACGACACCTCCTCTGGTGCTCTCACACACGCCACCAAGACTCGCGTCGCACTGCCCGCTGCTGACACCGGTTGCTGTAAGGACCGGCCGAGAGTGGGAGGGGGAAATGGGATGGAAAGTAAGCGGGGAGAAGGGTCTATGTGGGGTGGCAGGGCTGCTGGCGAGAGGATTGCTGTGTGTGTGCTGTGAATGTGTGTGTGTGGCATGCCGAGCATGGCATGGGGGGCATTGGATAGCATTGGGTAGCATTGGGTAGCATTGGGTGGCATGGCACATACTTGCATGGCGATGATTTCAGCCTTGCCGTCTTTACCCAGCGCGTCCATTCGCCCCAGGTACGGTGCTGCATACTGCGCCCCCACTCCCTGCGCTAGCAGCACCTGGTGCAGGCAATCGGGGACGGGGAGAGGAAGGGCGGGGGAGAGGGGATGAGCGGTAGTGATGTGCACAAGCATGGCTCCATACATGCATGCAAGCAGGGTCGGGGCATAGGGGAAAGAAGCAAGGTTGGCCCCATGGATGCATGCAAGGTTGGTGAAGAGGAGAGGTGGTGCAGTGTGTTGGGGCGAGTTGTGAGCAGCGGACGGTCAAGGTGATGAAGAATCATGACGAGCAGCAGCAACACAACAGCACAGTGTGCAGGTTCAGAGGTGGTGAGGGGCTGGAAACGAGTGTGATTCAGCAGGGGGGTGCAGTTGTGGGTATGTGCATGTGTGTGCATGTGTGTGCATGTGTGTGCATGTGTGTGCATGTGTGCATATGTGTGTGCATGTGTGTGCATGTGTGTGCATGTGTGTGCATGTGTGTGCATGTGTGTGCATGTGTGTGCATGTGTGTGCATGTGTGTGCATGTGTGTGAGGATGAGTGTGCATGAGGGCATGCATGCATGGCACCTGGTGAGAGGCATAGACGGCAGTGAGTGTGACTCGGAAGCCCCATGTGGAGATGAGCTGCCGTGCTGCCTGAATGCCTGTCACTGTCGCTGGAATCTTGATCTGCCACCCGTCCCAACAAACATAAAGGTTGCACATGCACAGAGCCGCAGCACCAGCACCAGCACCAGCACATGAGTAGAGCAAAACCCCCCCCAAGGCACATAGCGACTACAGACCAGACCTTGGTACTGCGCTATGTGCCTTAGTATGCATCCTTGGCAGGCCAGAACCAGAACATCCCATTGGAGTGAAAGAGTAGCTCTTGCAATACTAGGCCGAACAATAGTGCCGAAAGAGCAGGCAGAAAGCCGGTGAAGGCAGGCACAAGCAGAAAGGTCACAGGGCAGGGCGGCTCGGCAGAGCGGCAGGACAGCAAGGCAGCAGTGGGGTTGTGTTGAAGGCTGACCACGACGCGGGGATCGATGATGCCGAGGCGTTTTCCCGTTTCCACCATTTCGTCCGCTGTGGCTCCCCATGTCTGTAGCTGGATCTCCTGCGCTCCCTGCTCTCCTCCCCATGGGGTGCGCGCGTACACGCACGCACGCACGCACGCACGCACGCACGCACGCACGCACGCACGCACGCACGCACGCACGCACGCACGCACGCAACGCCACATGCATACCGCGCAGCAACGGGGGGGTGGGAAAGGGGGGGTGGTGGTGGGAAGGCGGGCGATGGGGGATACGCATAACAGTCGAATGAGGATGAGGGATAGGCGATGGGGAAATGAGGATGAGGGATGGTTGTGGGGGATAGAACAATGAATGGAGAGGGAAGGACAATTTGCGAAAGAGGAAGCAAGTCCTGGACCAGGCAAGTGGACAGAGCAACAGGAGGGGAACGGGAGAGGAGGAGGGGACGAAAGAGGTGGGGAGCAGGATCTGGAACTAGAGACCACGATAGAAAGACAGAGAGGGGGAGTGAGGAAGCGAGGGAGGCGGGGTGGTGAAGTGAAGTGAAGAGAAGAGCGGGGCGGAGTTGCGCGGTTTGGTTTGGTTGTGACTGACTGACCAAGCCAAATGCGGTGTGAGCCAGCTCCGCTAGTGCGTCCACAGAGCACTCCCTCCCTGCCCGTTCCAGAAGCAGCGGATTCGTTGTGACTCCTGAGTGGGGGTGGAGAGGAGCGCATTGGATTCGCATCACAGGGAAGGAGATGGCGAGATGATAGGAGGGGGAGAGGAAGAGGGGGAGAGAGACGGACGAAGAGCGGGGGAAGAGCAGGAGAAGGGAGAGGGGCGAAGGGGGAGAGGGGAGGGAGAAAGGGGGAGGTATGAGAGGAGAGGGAGAGACGACAAGCCCCATTCTCCACTGATCGGAGTGGGGCAAACAGAACAGAACAGAAGAGAACAGCACGAAACGGAACGAAGTGATAGCGCACGCTCTACTCCGCTCTACTCCCACTAATCGAGTCTGTGTCACTCACCCTCGCCGTTCAGCTCACGGCTCACCATGGAAGATGCCCGTCGGGAGCCATTTCTCCCATTCCGCCACGTCAGCAGTGTCCAGAAACAATCTCAGCCGTCCCCTGCCCAGCGCCAGCAGTCTCTGCCCTAGAACCGACCGATCATTCGCGATTCCGCCGCCGCCAGGCGCAGCAGCGGCGGAGGCGGAAACGTCGAGGGTGGTGTGGCGGTCAGCAGGGGGTGAGTCCGCCATGGGTGCGGGAGGTGCGGTAAGGATGAGCGGGCGGGATTTGCGGAGATGGTGGCGGGTCAGCCTCCCTCGTTGGCTGAAATCCAGCTGGTATTGCTGTGTCCGCTGACGTGAAACGAACGGCGCTGCAGCTTTCGGAAGGGAGAGGTGCGCAACAGCAACAATGGCAGCTCCGGGAAGCACGGCCATGGATGAGCGGGCGGAAGGAGTGAAAGGAAAGGTGCAAGGGAGTGATAGGGCATCGAGTAGCATCAAAGCTGGAAGAAATCGATTGGTTTGGCAGTGAGTCAGTGCCCGTTAGAAAATTTCTCGCCAATGAGCACTCGTAACGCGCACAAGAGCAGTACATACTATGTAAACAGCAGGAGCACATATGAAAAGAGAATTGCTTGGTGTAGTGAGCACCAATTCATGTACATAATTGAGAATATAAAATAAACATAGATTTTAAATCGATTACAGTTCATAAAAATATCATCATGGTTAATCTCCATTATCTCGCTATATCTGTGGGAATTTTCATCCCAGTTAACATAACGGGGCTGTTTGCCAGCACCTGTGAAGCCAAAAACCACGGGATAACGACGGGATCAGGAAGGTGTGTCTCGTCTTCCTGATCCCGTCAGTTAGGGTTCGTTTACCTCCGTCAGCCTGGTCAGCCCGTAAAAAAGGTGCCGAGCCTCTTCTACCGTCCAAACCAACAACCAAAGTGGGTGTCTGGCAAACGCCCCCATTTGTCCACCAACTTGAGCTGCTCGACGGCATATGGAAGCGGGGACGCAACTTCGTCCCCAGGCAAAATTCCATCCCCAAGCCATGCCATCGCCATGCCCTGTTTTTAAAAGGACAGCGATGGCACAGCCGTTGCATTGCCGTTCAAAGCCCTTGGGGGGAAGGTGGGGATGGAGGTTCCCGACGCGGTTGCGTAATTTCGCTTTCCGGGCGCAGAAGTTTCTCGAGTGGCATTACGCCCAAACCTAGGAGGTGGGTTCCGCCTCCGTTTCCGGATGCGGTCGCGATGCCGATGCCATCTTTTTCATTCAATTTTTCGATTTGCTGGCGAACAGCACCAACATGTTATAGTTGCATTATCTACAAGGAGAAGGGCAACGCAGCGTCGTTACAAACGGAATTTGTTGCGGAAGCCTGAGAGAAACATGGACGACCCCCTGAATGAGATCACGTATCAAATTCCGATCAGGTCGATGGCATGGCGTCCAGCGAGGCATGGACCAGCTGTTGGGTTGAAGGAAGATGGCACGAAAGATGAATGGGCATCGTGAAAGTGTTCCCGCCACGTCGCGCATGCCGATTGGGGAAATCCCGGCCGATTCAATCGCCGCAGATTTACCGAACCATCGATCGCGATCTTTTCCACTCCATATCAAAGCGCACTTGATTTGAACTTGTAAAATATGTTGCACTCCAACCTAGATACAGTCAAGCTGTTTCCAAACTAGATACATACTATGTTTCTAGGAAAGTAGCTGTTTCTGGTTGGAGGTATGTCTACTTTACCCCAGAAATCGAGCAGCCCTGCACCCTAGAATTCCACCCATAATAATAATATTAACTCGAACGTCCATCAATCACACATATATCCGAAAATATCAGAAAATAATGTTCTGATATTTTCTGCATTCATGTGTGGAATCCAACACCAAAACTATAGTAGTATGGCTTGAAGCTTGGATTTGTTTGCATGATCCAGGCCTTGTAAATACCAAATAGCATACTATATATGCGGAAACCTGTAGGTCTGACTACATAATGGTAGAAATTTACGCAGACTCAAACTGTACTATATACAGAGCACGTTGTAGACGGTTAGATTCGATCTCGATTAGATTCTATGCTGGGTGAAGTTGCTGTCCGTATGCGAGAAGCAGTTGCCCGTGCGGTAATCAATCCACACAATGCCAACCCATATGATTTCCTAATCTCTAGCCTCCGGACGGACTGTTGCACCCTCTTACCCGCCTCCGTCAAACCCCGGGCCGAGACACGGCGTCGGCGGCATCCCGTCATGTGCATGAATATACATTCCTCCACTTCCTCAACCCTCGAAGATTCGCAATCAGAACAAGGGTTCTCGAACCCGCAAATCTGCTTACAGAAGTTAGAGGTCAGTTTTTTCTCCACGATTTAATTCAATACTACAGATCGTAAACAAAAAGAGGCCATCCTGAACGTGGGACGGTAAACACATATAACAATGACCAAGTTGTTTTGTGGGTTCATTACTGTTTGTCATGCGCGAAAGTCACCATTTAGTCAAAATCACGTTTTTGAGTACACTATTTATTTTGTGAAGCACCCTCGGTCCTTTTTTGTGCCGCCTCTAAAGTGCTCTGCTTCATAATTCTGGATCACCTTCCACAAATCCACCATGTCAGCAGCAGTTGCCCTCATTGGTCCCTCCCGTCCCGCCCTAACTTGGACCACAACACACCACACCACCGCATTTCTCTCCATCCACATCAAGTTTGGTTCGGGCAAACCAGCGTTGCCAGTGCCACCCACTCAACTCAGTGAAACACAACCCTCACCTCACAACCTTTCTCCGCGGCCCTCTGTACCCTCAACACTATGTTCTTCTGCCTCTACTGTGTGTCCACGCTACCTTCTATGGGGGCAGAGCAGAGCACTCCTCACTTCTGCTCACACCATTCTCAACAACCTGCTTGAGCTCTCCTTGATTTTCTGGCGGATTCCATTCATGTCTTCAGGTCAGACTCGCTTTGCTCTGCGAGCCTCGCCTTTTGCTCGTTTTCCCTTCTTGGGCTAGTAAAAAACGAAGAAAGAGCAGCAACCCTCAGCCGTCCTTCTTTCCAGTGCTACTAGTACCAGTGGGCATATCCCATTCGTGACCAAGCTAAGCTACTTCGCATTGTTTTGAACGTACCACCGCACTAACTTAGTATTTAACCTAGTTCCGTTTCTGGTGGCTTCACACATTTCGTCCAGCCCAGAGTGTACGATTGTCGCCACGCACCTACAACTTAGGTATCAAGTGCCGTGGCTCCCGCATCTATGAGCCACATCGCGTCGTCACACCTCTAACGAGCGTCTTCCATTTCATTTCGACTTAGTAACCCGTCAGGTTCTGCCGCCAGCGTAAATTGATTGTTGCCAGCCACATCGCGAAAGATTTCCGCACACTGATACACACGAGCCACTGCCATCCGGCACCTGTAAAGTCCGTCGTGCCATCAGTGCGAGCACGGTGTAGCCGGGTGACCGTGGCCACCAACTGGCGGCGGCGGTGATAGCAGAAGCAGCGGCAGGAGCGATGGCTGACTAGGGATCTGCCGGCCCGTGGCCGCGAAATCATGCGTTGCCGTTGGCCCATCTGTTCCGTATTAATACTATTTCTAGTAACGCGGAGTACTAACGCGGTTTAGCGTGCGTCGCCACGCATGACGCAGCCAGCGCCGCAGTCACCGGCGAGCGCCATTGCCGCGATCGCCCATTGATCTGACGCGGCATTGTCTCTACTGCCACTGGCGATATTCCTCTTCAGTTTCCGTCTGTGGGGGCATCTGGAAGGGCAATAACTTATTGCTACCTAGTCGGCCGCCCTAATTCGGTTTGAGTCGGAATAGCAATACTTACCAGGTCGCGGCGGTAATACCAAGGGTGCTAGGTCGCGGTAGTAGTAAGCGTACTAGGCCGAGAAAGTGCGACATAACTCGATACAAGGCAAGGAAAAGAGCGACATTACTCGATACTTAAATTCAACCTTAACCGCGAGAATGAGCGCCGAGAAGGGGCGCGATATGGCGGTGTCGCGGGCGGAGATGGAGCGTTTGTCTAAGGAGCAGCTAGTGGAGGAGGTGCTGAGGCTGTCCGCCCTCGTGGAGGAGCGCGAGAGGCACCAGAAGCAGGAAGGTACGCGCCTTTCCGCCATGCACTGCATTGGCAGGAATTCGGGGCACTGATAGTAACGTCCATATCATGAGACAGTTCTTTCCTTCGGGATGCTTCCGAGGGAACCGGAAAGGCTTGTTGTTTGGAGGGATGGTTTTTAGCAAGGAGGAGTGCCTCGGGGTACTTAGGTTTGCTTCCCGGCTCAATATCCCCCTGTAAACTTTGGTGCCCTTTCCCCTTCTCGTTTTCCTTTCCCCCTCTCCCTGGCTCTCTCAATCAACCACGCACCACCCCATCCAAGTCTGCCCGCCCAGGCTGACGCTCTGTACACACGCTCCGCATGCAAAAATTAATCACTCTTTCTCACATTCTCTTCCCCCACGCCCTTTGCTCTCTCTCGGCGTGTGTGCAGTGGATTTCCAGCGTGATCTACTCAAGTCTGTGGGACAATCCATCATAGTCACGGATCTAGAAGGCCACATCACTTATTGGTATGCCACGTCGCCTGCTGGAATGGAATCCCACGTCGGCTAGAAGCCCCCTATTGGCACCTCTCGGTGTCCCCATGTCACTTACAATTCCGCCATGGCATCTTTTGTCGTGCCACGTTACGTGCTGGTAGGCCAGACGCTGGTGTGATGTGATGGTGCACAGCACAATGCAATGCAGTGCAATGCAATGCAATGCACATGATACCAGAGGGGAGGAAGTTGACTGACACAAGCTGCCCTGCCATGTGCCGTGGGCCGCCTCATCACTCATCGCACCAGATCTGATCAGATCAGATCAGATCAGATCGAATCATCCCCTCTACCACGGGCCACTGTCCTTGTCCCTCCCGTCTCTCATCTCCCTCACGCCCTCCATCCCCGTCACTTTCACTTACCTCACCTCTTCCTTCACCCCTACCCTCACCTCTTCTTCCTCCCCTTTCTCCCCTTCCTCCCCTTCCTCCCCGTTCTCCTCCTCCTCTTATCTCCCTTGCCCCGTTTCTCTCCTTCCTCCCCTTCCTCCCATCCCGCCCCTCACTTTCCCTTTCCCCCTTTCCTCCCTTTTCTCCCTTTCCTCCCTTTCCTCACCATTCTCCCCTTTCTCCGTTTCCTCCGCCCTCCCTTTCCTCCCTTCCTCCCCGTTCTTCCCCTCCCCTTTCCCCCCTTCCCCCTTTCCCCCCTTCCCCCTTTCCTCTCCCTCTCTCCCTCCTCCCTCCCCTCACCTCCCCCTCCCCCCGCTCCTCCCCTCCCCCCGCTCCTTCCCCCGCGCGCCCCCCTGCGCTCCCAGGAACCGAGCGGCGACGGAGATCTACGGGTGGGAGCCGGAGGAGGTGCTGGGGCGGCTGGTGTTCGAGGTGCTGGCGCTACCCGCGGAGGACATGGGCGAGTGCGGCATTCAGATCTTCGCCGCTCTTTCGCGCGGAGACAAGTGGTCGGGCGAGTGGTCCGTGCGCACCAAGGCAGGGGACGTCATTGAAATCATGGTGTGTGCCCGGGGGAGGAGGGGGAGGGCGGGGCGTGGGGCGTGAGGCGTGGGGCGTGGGGAGTTTGGCGTGGGGCAGCTGGGAATCGGGGGAGCGGGGAAGCGAGGGAGCAGGGCGAGTGATCTGTGCGCACCAAGGCGGGGGACGTCGTTGACATCATGGTGTGTGCAGCGGCGTGGGGTGAGGGGGGGGGGGGAGGGGGGGCGGGGCGTGGGGCTTGGGGCGTGGGGCAGCTGGGAATCGGGGGAGCGGGGAAGCGAGGGAACAGGGCGAGTGGTCCGTGCGCATCAAGGCCGGCAACGTCATTGACATCATGGTGTGTGCAGGGGCGTGGGGGGGGGGGGAAGCGGGGCTGCTGGGAAGTGGGGAAGCGGGGGAGCGGGTGAGCAGGCGGCTGGAGGTGCTGCTTGGAGAGAGCTGGTTTGCGCGGGTGGTGATTGGGATTGGGATTGGGAGGGATGGGGGGAGGGGAAGTGGGTGCTTTCTAGTTATCTCAGCAACCCCCCTCAGCAGCACACTCCCTTGGCACACTCCCTCAGCACCCCCTCTCAGCACACGCCCTCAGCATGCCACGGCGCCGTGTTTTTGCCGCACCTCCTCACTGCCTCACTCCAGATAGTGTTGGTTGACCCGCCAGCACTTCATCCATCTTCCCCTCTCCCCTCTACCCTCCCCTCTCCCTTCCCCTCTCCCCTCCCGTCCCCCCTCCCTTCTCCCTCCCTCTCCATCCCCTCTCTCTCACCCCCCTCCCTGCACTCCCCCTCTTCCCCTCTCCCTTTCAGGTGGTGGACACGCCAGTGATGGACGAGGCGAACCAGCTGGTGGGGGTGATCGGCGTGAGCACGGACATCAGCAATGGACGAGAGCAAGCACCGCTTTCCTCCCTCCCACCGTTCTTCATCCTCCCTCTCCCTCCCCTCTCCCTCCCTTCTCCCTCCCTTCCCTGTCCACTCTCCCTCTCCACTTGCCTCCCGCGCCCTGCAACCCCTCCCCCTCCCCCTCTCCTCCTCTCCCTCTCCTCCTCTCCCCGCTCCACAGGTGGTGGACACGCCAGTGATGGACGAGGCGAATGAGCTGGTGGGGGTGATAGGCGTGAGCACGGACATCAGCGAGCTGAAGCGCAAGGAGGCCGAGATCCTGCAATGGGCGAGGTCAAGCACTGTTTTCCACCCTCCCACCGTCCTTCATCCGCCCTCTCCCTCCCCTCTCTGTCCCCTCTTCCGCCCCACCACTTCCTTCCCGCGCCCTGTGTTCCCCTCCCCCTCCCCCTCTCCTCCTCTCCCTCTCATCCTCTTCCCCCGCCTTTTTCAGGTGGTGGACACGCCAGTGATGGACGAGGCGAATCAGCTGGTGGGGGTGATAGGGGTGAGCACGGACATCAGCGAGCTCAAGCGCAAGGAGGCCGAGATCCTGCGCCTGAACGCGGAGCTGGAGCAGCGCGTGGCGGAGCGCACGCAGCAGCTGCAGGAGAGCAACCGGCTGCTGCAGGAGGAGGTGCAGGAGCACCTGCGCGCACGCGAGCACCTGCACCGCGTCGCACGGGTGCGTGTAGTTTTTAGGCGCCTCAAACATAGACGCCTGCTGCAGGAGGATGTGCAGGAGCACCGCACCTGCACCGCGTCGCACGGGTGCGTGGCGTGGCACGGCACGGACGGCACAGATGGCACGGACGGTTGCTGTGTTGTGGTGGCTATGCATCTATGCATCTTAGAGTTGATCTAAAGATGTAGATAGATCGGTGCCGACACACACACCCACCCGCCCATACATCCCTGCGATTTCCCATCCCTACCCCCTCCCCCCCCTCCCCTCGTAATCGCTCCAACATCCCTCCCCGTTCCCCTTGCATTCCCCCGTGCCCTCCTCTCCCCGCCCGCCCCTTGTTCCATGCGGCAGGACATGGAAGCATCGCGGTCCAAGATACTGCAGCAGGCGAACCGACCGGCACAGCAGCCCTTTATTGCCCTTCCTTACTCCAACAAACCTCTCCCTTCCCTTCCCCTCCGTCCTCTCTCAACCCCCCTCCCCGTCCACGCTCACAGGACATGGAAGCATCGCGGTCCAAGATACTGGAGCAGGCGAACCGGCTGGAGAAGCTCGTGGTGGACCTCCGAGCCGCCCGCCTCGAGGCCGAGTCCGCCAGCCGCCTCAAGAGCCAGTTCCTCGTCAGTGCCTGCCCGTCGCCCCCCCCCCCTCTCTCGTGCTCTTTCTGCTGCGTGCTGCGTGCGGCGTGCTGCCTGCTGCCTGCTCCCCGCTCCCTGCTCCCTGCTTCCTTGTTTCGTTCCAGCGCACACCCAATCCCAGCTTTCTTTCCGCCCTCACCCCCCTCACCATCCGTATCGCCCTGCATGACACCCTCTACTCCACCTTCCTCCACACTCTCATCCCCTCCGCCCTACTCAATTCCTCTCTCCCTTCCCCTCCCCCACCCTCTCCCTTCCTCACTCCCCCCCCCCACCCCGCCCGCTTCCCCTCCGCCTCCTCCCTCACTCCCTCCCTCCTCTCCCCCCTTCCCCCCCGCACCAGGCGTGCATGAGCCACGAGATCCGCACGCCCATGAACGCAGTGATCGGCATGACGAACCTCATCCTCTCAACGCCTCTAACGGACGAGCAGCAGCAGTACGTGCACACCATCCGCACCAGCGGCGACGCGCTGCTGGCAATCATCGATGACATCCTCGACTTCAGCAAGATCGAGGCGGGGGAGCTCGCGCTCGAGCGCTGCCCCTTCTCCCTCATGATGTGCCTCGAGGAAGCTGTTGACATGTTCGCTGTGAGTGGCCCTGGCCCCTGGGGTGAGGTGACTGTTGTGTCGACTCAAAAGAGTGCTGCCCCGTCTGCCCCGTCTGCCCCTTCTGCCCCTTCTCCCTCATGATGTGCCTCGAGGAAGCTGTTGACATGTTCGCTGTGAGTGGCCCTGGCCCCTGGGGTGAGGTGACTGTTGTGTCGACTCAAAAGAGTGCTGCCCCGTCTGCCCCGTCTGCCCCTTCTGCCCCTTCTCCCTCATGATGTGCCTCGAGGAAGCTGTTGACATGTTCGCTGTGAGTGGCCCTGGCCCCTGGGGTGAGGTGACTGTTGTGTCGACTCAAAAGAGTGCTGCCCCGTCTGCCCCGTCTGCCCCTTCTGCCCCTTCTCCCTCATGATGTGCCTCGAGGAGGCCGTTGACATGTTCGCTGTGAGTGGCCATGGCATCTGAGTTGACCTTTGATTTGAGTCTATTCAAAAGGGCGCTGCCCCTGCCCCTTCTCCCTCATCATGTGCCTTGAGGAGGCCGTTGACATGTTCGCTGTAAGATGCCCCTCAGGTGACTTTTGAGTCTATTCAAAAGATCGCTGCCCCTTCTCCCTCATCATGTGCCTCGAGGAAACTGTTGACATGTTCGCTGTGAGTGGCATGCCCTCCTGTGCCCGCATGCCCCCATGCCCTCATCATGCCCTCTTACTTGGTGCTTCCTTCAACACCAGTCCAAGGCATCTCGTATCTAGCCGCTGCAAGCCCAGAGCTGCCCCCTGCCACATGCTATGCTAGCCTCATCCCCCAATCACTTCAACAGTCACCTCTGCTCCATCCTCACACACCCGTGCTCTGTCCCAAATCTGTCCCCACCTCCCTCCCACCTTCCCTCCCACCTTCCCCCCCACCTCCCCCCCCATCTTCCCCCCCACCTTCGCCCCCACCTTCCCCCCCACCTTCCACCTCATCTTCCCCCTCACCTTCCCCCTCTCCCCCCATCCGCCTTGCGCTTCCCCGTATGGCAGCTGAAGGCGCTGGACAAGCGGCTGGAGCTGGTGTCGTTTGAGGCGCCTCAAAACCCCCCCGCTCCTCCCCCCTCTCCCCGCCCACCTCCGTGAACCCTCCCCTCCCTCCCCCCTTCCCCCCACGGCAGCTGAAGGCGCTGGACAAGCGGCTGGAGCTGGTGTCGTTTGCAGACCCATCCGTGCCTCCCATCGCCCAGACTGACCCCGCTCGCGTCCGACAGGTGCGTGCGTGCGTTCGTGTTCTGTGAGGATGTGGGGCGGCATGGGGATAAGCGTGTGCGTGCATGATGCATGGAGGCTGGGAGAGGAAGGGCGGGAGTTTGGGACACACAGGTAGGTAGGAAGGTGGGAGGTATGGCTGGTTCGACATGAAGGATGGATGGATTGAGCACAGTCGAGTTTTTACAAGTTAGGCCAGAATTTTTTCCTTCTCCTGCTTCTTTCTCGGTGTGTGGTTGGTCCCTCAGTTGTTTTTCCGGAGACAGTTAACGTGTTTCGCACCTCAACCTCATCCCTTTGCCCTTTTACAACTCGCCGTCCTTCCCTTTCCTCCCCCCGCCCGTGTCCTCCCTCCCACCTTTGTCGGCGTGCGTGTGCGTGCATCAGATCCTGGTGAATCTCATATCCAACGCCCTCAAGTTCACGCACCAAGGGGAGATTGTCATCCGTGCCCGCGCCTCCCCTTGGCCCGCCACCCGCACCTCCTCGCACCTTCCCCCCCATCCCCTCTCCCACTCCCACCCTCCTTCCCTCCTCCAAATCACCGATGGCGTTTCCACTGCCACTGGTGCCACTGCTGCTGCTGCTGCCACAACAGGACACCAACCAGGGCTATTCCCTTTCAACACATCCGCACCGCTCTCCATCTTCTCTTCTTCCTCCTCCTCCTCCTCCTCAACCACCTCCCTCTCCACCCTCGCGCCCAGCTCGCCCTATCTCTACACCTCCTCCTCTCTCCTCTCCGACTCAGCCCTCCCAAGCCACGAGTTACACGTAACAGTCACAGACACAGGAATCGGTATCCCTCCTGACCGTATGTCTCGCCTGTTCCGGCCGTTCAGCCAAGGGGATGCGAGCACCACGAGACGGTTTGGGGGCACCGGGCTGGGATTGGTGATTTCTAAGCAGCTGGCAGAGCTACTGGGAGGGCGCATGTGGGTGGAGAGCGCAGGGGAGGACAGAGGGTCCACATTCCACTTCACTATTGCTCTTTATCCCCCGCCGCCCACAGAGCCTGTATTAGCAACGCCTGCCCCCGTCGCTGCTGCTGCACCTGCTCCTGCTCCTGCTCCTGCTCCTGCTCCTGCTCCTGCTCCTGCTCCTGCTCCTGCTCCTGCTCCTGCTCCTGCTCCTGCTCCTTCTATTGCTGCTGCTCCTGCTGCTCCTCCTGCTGCTGCTCCTGCTGCTACTCCTGCTGCATGTGCCTCTTCTGCTCTACCGCCTCTGCCTGTTCGCGCTCCTCCTGTCGCTTCTTCTCTCGGTGCTGTGCCCTCCGCTGCCCCTGCCATGGCCAGTGCGACAGCTATTGCCACAGCCGCTGCGTCGTGTGCCTCACAGCCATCACTACCTCCCCATCTTCCTCCTCCTTCACCCACACCTGCCACAGCAGCTGTCGCACCAAGCTCTGCTGCCATGAGCAGTGGTGTCACCACCACCATCGCCACGACCACCACCAGCACTTCTGCTCCTGCTGCTCCCGCTGCCGCTGCCGCTGCTGCTGCTGCCGCTGCTGTTCCTCCAGGTGTTACGCTGGCAGGAGGCAGCACTGGTGCTGCTGCTGCGACTGCTGGTGCAGCTGGGGCGGACAGAAGAGGCGTGGGAGGAGCGTGGGGAGGGCGAGGATTGAGAGGGGACAGAGGATTGAGAGGAATGGGTTCAGCAGGAACGGCAGCAGCAACGGCGGCAGCAGCAGGGACGGCGGCGGAGATAGGATCACATGCGAGGGTGGAAGCAGAGTGGGAGGAGCGGCAGAAGCTGCGGTCGTCCCTGTACCGGCAGCGGTTGATGGAGAATGCTGGACTGGTGCCCGGCGCTGCACAGGGCACTGCTGCGGATGGCGGGGTGCGGAACTGGGAGGTGGGGGAGGGTGCGATTGCAGTGACGGATGCAGGGGTGGGGCGAGCACGAGATGTGGGAATAAGGGCAGGGGCAAGGGAAGGGGCAGGGGCAGGGGCAGGGGAAGGGGCAGGGGAAGGGGCAGGGACAAGGGAAGGGGTAGGGGCAGGGGCAAGGGAAGGGGTGGGGGCGGGGGCAAGAGAGAGCGAGCAGGGTGGGGTTGTTGATGGCAAGGCAGGGGAGGTGGTGGGGGGAGAGAGGCGGGGTAGCAAGAGGCCTAGGGAGGCGAGTGGGGAAAGGGAGAGGGGAGAGGATGATGAAGGGGCGAGACGAAGGTCAGTGGCGGAGAGTGAAAGGGTAGTGGGGGGGATGGTGGGGAGAAAATCTGGTGAGGCCGTGGTGGTGGTGGCGTGTGGGAGAGATGGTGGTGACATTGAGAGGACGTTTCAGCGCCGGACGGAAGACTCTGCGTCTGACATGGTGACCGAATTGGGGGGGCGGCAAGCTGCCGGGGAACAGCAACAGGAAGGGTCGCATCCTTTCACTTTTCCACCTGCTGTGCCCATGTCCTTGCCACTTCCCTCCTCCCAAGAACCCCCACCAACCATGGGTCACCACCACTCACACGGCTCACAACCCTCCCACCAACCGTGCCCCTCTCCCTCTCTCTCGCCCTCTCCCTCGCCCTCGCTCTCACCCTCGCCCTGCCCCTGCCCCTCCCCACACGTTACCCACACCGCTCCGCGCTCCTCCTCCCGGCAGACCACCCCTCGCACCTCCCCAACCACCGCTCCCCGCGCCTCACCGCACATCACACCTCCTTCCTCCCTCTCCACAGAACCCCCCACTGGCCACCCCACAGACACTCGCACACTCGCCCTCACAGACGCCCCACCAACCTCCCCTGCGCTTTCCCCACGAGAGTCCCTGCGAGGAGAACATGTGATGGACCCTGCAGTCAACCCCGCAGCAGTAGTGACTCTGCGCCCGATCCGGGCAGTGCAGGGTCGCACAGCCCTAGTAGTGGATGACAGTGCGGCGGTGCGTGCGATGGTATCAGCGCACCTGCAGGCGCTGGGGTTTGCGACGAGGGAGCTGACGAGTGGAGAGCAGCTGCTGGAGGAGGTTGCAGCCTGCGATGTCACCCGCGCACCCAGCCTCGTGGTCGTCGATACTGAGGTGAGGGGGACAGGACGTAGGGTGGGCATACCGAGGTGAGGGGGTGGATAACGTGGTAAGGGGAAACTTACGTGGAACGCGGGTAGCACCGGCACCAGGAGCACAGCACGGGATGGGCCTCTCTCGTGTCCAGTCTATTGGTTTCTGCTGCCCTTGTTCCTTCTTCCCCTTCATTCGTCCCTGTACTTCGGTTCCCCCTCTGCCTTTGCTTCATCCTGTGCCTTCCCTTCCCCGCCCGCCGTGCCCACATGTATGGATTGACTGTCAGATGCCGGGAATGGACGGGCTGACAGCGGTGAACCAGCTCAGCGCCTTGCCACAGGCAGAGGGGCTGCGCGTGCTGCTGCTCTGCCCTTACGGCACCGCCAACCAGGTGCGCTGCGCTATGCTGCGCTGTGCTGCGTTGTGCTGCGCTGTGCTGCGCTGCGCTGCGCTGTGCTGCGCTGCGCTGCGCTGTGCTGCGTTCTGCTGCGCTGTGCTGCGCTGTGCTGCGTTCTGCTGCGCTGTGCTGCGTTGTGCTGCGTTGTGCTGCGTTGTGCCATGCGTTGTGCCATGCGTTGTGCTGCGTTGTGCCATGCGTTGTGCCATGGAGGTGCCATGCGTTGTGCTGCCCCTCCCCTGCTTCACAGAAACCTCAAGTCACCGTGTTGATGCTCGCTCACTCACTCCTCACTCACTCACTCACTCACTCCACACATGCCCACTGTCCCTCCGCTCCCCCCCCAACCTGCCTCCTCCTCTTTCGCAAGCTTGTTCTTTTCGTCACGCTTTGACTAGACATGCAGGTTAGTGGTAGTGCAGTGCATTGCGTTATCATCTGGTAGGCAAGTGCGTGGCCCCATCAGCTCAGAAAGGCCCCCCCAAGGGAGCTCCAGGCCAGCCCTCCCGCCCCGCCATCCATTCAGCCCGCTGAAGCCCCCGCCCTGCTGGTGTCCCTCTCCCTGTATCTCGCTCTCTCTCTCGCTCTTTCTCCCTCACACGCACGCGCCCACGAGTCCTCTCTCTCCTTCCCCTTTTATTTCTCTCCCGCTCTCATCCCTCCCGCTCCCCCTCCCCCTCCCCCTCCCCCTCCCCCTTCCCCATCCCCCATCCCACCAGGTGCGCGTGACAGCCCCCAGCATCAGCATGGCAGCACTAACCAAGCCCCTGCGCCAGTCCCTCTTCACCCGCGCTCTGCTCCTCGCCTTCCCTCCCCTCGCCACGCCTCCATCTCCATCTCCCCTTACTCACCCACACCCACCGGCAGCTGCTTCCCCTACTACCACTCCTACCACCACTGCATCTGCTCCTGCTCCTGCTGCGGCTTCTGCGCTCAACCACAGCAGATCCAGCCACCACGGTGCCATGCCCCAGCCTTCCTCCGTGCCTCCTGCTTCGGCTTCCTCTGCTGTTCTGGCGGCAGTTCGCGGCGGCGATGGTGGTGGTGGTGGTAATGCCACAATGGGCTCCTGTGGAGCTGACGGGTCGGATGGTAGGGCTGCCGTGGATGGTGCTGCTGCTGCTTCTGCTGCCGCTGGTGCTGGTGATGGTAGTGGCAGCAACGTGAGCGGCATTGGTGTTGTGAGTCCTGGAGCAAGAGGAGGCGGAGGGCGAGGAGGGCGAGGAGGGCGAGGAGGAGCAGGAGGAGCAGGAGGAGCAGGAGGAGCAGGAGGAGAAGGAAGAGGAGGGCAGGGAGCGGCGGAGCAGGCGGGGGCTGTAGAAAGGCCTAAGAGGAACAACAGCTGGCAGAATCTGATTGCAGTAGGGGTGGCGAATGAGCGCACGACACCTGGCGGGTTCATATTGGGTCTGGCAGACAAGCATCCTCTCAAGATACTGCTTGTGTGAGTGTGAACACGTGCACTGGCTCTTAGCGACGGGTTGGGGATTGTGAGGGTTGTGGACTTTCAGCAATGAGTTAAAAGGCAAGCTGCGGTGGGCATGGGGAAGTGGAGGGTTGGAAGCGGGAATTTGAGTTCCCTAACCTTCCCTTCCCCAGTCGTGTTGTATTTGCTGGAGCGGAATAACCGGCATGTGCAAGAAATATATCACACGTGTTGTCTTGAACTTACATTTCGTCCCAAACGCCCTGGCTGCGTCCTCCCTTCCTGTTGTGCGTCACCTGAACACGCTCGTCCCTTTGCCCTTCCCCACCTTCCCCCGCGCCCGCTCTCACCCGCAATCGCAACCGCACCATCACCCGCACACACACACCCACCCGCACGTGTGCTGTGCGTTGCGCGGAGGGAGGACAAGCTGGTGAATCAGCGCACGCATGGCCACGTGCAACAGGGGGTACAGCCCGTGGACCTGGTGTGCTCGCTTACCCCGTTGCCCTTTCCCCCTTCCCCCAACCCCACCCCCAACCCCACGCCCACACATGCCCCTGCCGGCACGCGTGCTCTGTGCAGCAAGGACAACCTGGTGAATCAGCGCGTGGCGACGCGCATGCTGAGCAACATGGGGTACACAGTGGACCTGGCTGCCAATGGGCTCGAGGCCGTCAATGCCCTCGCCACCAAAACATACGACCTCGTCTTCATGGACATTCAGGTGGGCATGTATGCGGTTTTCTTTGCGCCTTAAAACCAGCGTGTGGCGACGCGCATGCTGAGCAACATGGGGTACACTGTGGACCTGGCGGCCAATGGGGGCTGGAGGCTGTCAATGCCCTCGCCTCTAAAATATACGACCTTGTGTTCATGGACATTCAGGTGGGCTGGGCACCTGTGACATACAGAGGGTGCACTTGGGGACATGAAGTGTGTGCGCCATGTGTGAGCACATGGAGTGGGTTTGTATGAAGGCTTGAATGCAGTGTCACTCGAGAGCCAACTTCCAATCGTTCTCCTTCATCAGTCCTTCCGTCTCTCGCCAACTCTCCTCGTCTTCCCACACCCATCCCCCGTCCCCTTCCCTCCGCGGCCCTCCCCCGTGCCCTTCCCTCCTCCCTGCAGATGCCAGTGATGGATGGCATAGAGGCAACCCAGCGCATCCACCTGTTGGCGCAGCAGGAGGGGTGGGTGCGGCCACGCATAGTGGCAATGACAGCCAACGTGCTGCACTCGGACCGGCAGCAGTGCCTCAATGCGGGCATGGACGGGTTTCTCTCCAAGCCCATCCGCGTTGCAGACCTTGTTGCTGTGCTCGAACGCACTCCCTCTGCTGCATCTTCTACTCCTGCTGCTTCTCCGGCTGTTCCAGTCGCCACTGCTGCTGCTGCTGCTCCTGCTGCTGCTGCGCCTGCTGCTGCTGCTCCCCCCCCTGCTTCTGCTGCTGGTGATTCCGTCGCTGCTGCTGCTGCTGCTCCTTCTGCCGCTGGTAGCGTTGATGGTAACTTAGGGAGTGAGAGATGGGTGAAGGGAGGCAGTTCTTTGTGCCCCGGCAACAACCACTGGTCCATGGCCAGTAACAGCACAGGCCAATCACCCGATGGCTTGAGTAGGCAAGAATAAGCAGCGCGGGTCTTCTTTCACCACTAGAGGTTCTTTGCTGCAAAGAGTAGCATAGCGTGGCCCATGCCTCCTTTTTGTGATTTTCCCCGGCCGCGGTTTTGGTTAGGTAAGGAGGGCACGCTCGCTGTGGTGCGAACCGCTAGAGTCTAGACACCTTGGAGAGCAAGGAGCGAGGGCAGGTGCAAGGGCACCTTTTGGAATTTGTACCACGCTGATTTTTATTCAGAAATTGTAAGCTCATTCCAGTTTTTGTTCAGAAATCGTGAACCCATTCCAAGTGGATCAGGCCCTATTTTTTCAGAGTAAATCACTCTGTTTCTCTTAAAATCAGAGTCATTTTTTAAAGGAACTCTGTACCTGCTGGGTTGAGATTTTGAAAGTTAAGTTTTCTCTGATTTATCAGTGTTTTTTTTTAGGCTACTCTGAGGCCTCTGGGTTTTTTTTTCTAAGGACCGAGTTTACTATGTACAGAGGATACATGCCCCCTAAGGCCACGTCCTGCTGGTGCTCAGCTGGCTCACGGGGGGTGAACCTCAGTTTCTCCACCCATTTCTCCAATCCGTCATCAGGTACCTTGCGTACCCAGCACCCCAACCACACCTCGCCCCACCATGTTCCTGCACCCTTGCCAGAGATGCCTTACGACGAAGACAATGCTGACGTTGCGGCGCCTGAACCTGATCCCGGGCCGTCATGCAGCTCTCGCCCTATGAATGGTCTTGAGTTTCTGCACGGGGTACATCGTGCCCACGAGCATGAAGTCGAGCAGCATTGTGAAGGCGACGAATGGGGAGGTGACGAATGGTGTCGTCGGGATGGTCGGGATGACGATGAGCATTCCGATGGGGTCGAGGTGTGGGTGCGTTCGCCACGCTGGGAAGATAACGACCACCCCATTGGGAACGAGAGGTGCGATGGATCGCACCGCCCTGACATTGCTGAACCGGCCGCGACCGTACCAACAGAGGTCATTGATGCACCCACGCCAGACTCGACCGCCTCACAGACGCAGAAGAAGCGGCGCTTCACGCAGTCTGTGCTCGGGTTTGGACTGCAGCCCGTGAAGCCTGCACCGACTCCGCCGGCCCCGCAAGCAAACCACCACCTGTTATCCAACTCACAGACGAGGAGACGAAGGAGAAGTTGTATTTGAAGGCTCAGAAGAGCTACCACTGCAGCGGTTCCCATGGTTAATTCTTGATAAAACAACTGACGGTTTTCCATCTGTTCATTGTAGTGTCTGCATAGAGCATGGGAAGGACGACGCCCGCGACGGCCGCAATGGGAAAGGCGGTCGGGACCTCCAGATCGGATCCTTTCGCTGGCACGAGGCGAGCGTTTAGCACGACAACGCCATGAAGAAGCAAATGGGCCTGATGAAGAAGACCGAGGAGCAGAAGCGCATAGATGACTTTGCGAAGGGCGATCCAGAAGGCGCGCAAATTTCGCGGCTGATGCGGAGCATCGTCTTTGTGTGCAAGATGGACACTCCGATACAGATGTACCCGCGGCTGGTGCAGTTCCTCGCTGAGGAGGGGTTCGCCGACATACCGCTCCAGTCCTATGGCGTGTACATCAGACAGTGAGTCCCGGTTAATGTAAAATGTCGATATTCTATTTCATTTATGATATCCGATCTTCAATAACAGTTTGTTGTTTTGTTACTGGCCAGGTACGGTTTTGCGGAAATGGTGAAGGCATTAACCACGTTCCTACACCGCGAGCAGATGCAACACCTGCACGCCTCGCCATACATTGGCATTAGTTGCGACGAAAGCACTGACCGCGCTCGTGGCAAACACATGATTGTGTTTGTCACTTTCCTGAAGAACCACGTGGTGGTAACGGAGTTTCTGTCGTTACTTACCGTCAACTAGTGTGACACGCCTTCACTGCTTGCGGTTCTGCTCCAGCATCTGGAGAGCATCGGCATCGACCTGCAGAAATTCGTAGGGATTTCCACAGACGGCGCCTCCATCATGGTCGGATCGCAAACTGGGCTTGTGACGCGCCTTCGCATGCAAATCCCGCATCTCGTCGGGTGCCACTGCATCGCGCACCGGTGAGTTATTTTTGCTTCTATTCTAATGTTCAAGCTGGTCCATATCTAATAACAATGTGTATGTGATCACTGGTAAATTTACCTTTCAATTTTTTTGCATCCCTTCTGTTCCTCACAGTGCAGTGAAGCTCTTGCGGTCAAAGAGGCTGCAGAAGCGTTTCCATACTTTAACATTGTGGACGGTGCCATCAGGGCCCTGGGTGCGATCGTCGGGGAATCAACTCCCTGGTACGAGCGCTTCAAGGAGTTGCAGCTGGTGTACCACAACACCAACTTGGAGCACCAGGGACTCTTCAATTTGCGGTGGCTGTCACGGGGCGACGCAGTGCTGCGCATGTGCAAGTTCTTGGGGCGGCGATATGCGTCTTCATCGAGTACAGGCACACGATCGCTCGCATTGTCCAGACTTTCAAGTTCCACTCATGCCTATTTTTTTTGGCAGACATCGTGGCCGAGCTCAACTTTTTGAACCGGCGCAAGGTACGTTGTTCTAATTATATGGCATCACTATATTTCGCTTTTGTGCGTGGGTAATCTTGTTTGTTGGCACTGTAATTTGATATGAACTTGTGTGTTTGTATTCAACACCCCCCCAGGTTGACGTCAACATCGTCACGCAGGAGGTGGACCGCACGGTGTCGTACATACGACACCGCTACATCGACTATGAAGACAAGTTCAAGGAGGGGCTGAGCACACAACTGGTGCCTTTCCTGGAGCGACACAAGGACGGCAACCGTGTGATGCAAGTGGAGGGCGTGGACTCAAGCGGTCGCCCAGTTCGCCGCGAGATCGTGCTCAGCGAGGAGCCCATCGCTGGCCACAAGTTCGGTGGCACCATGCACGACTGCGAGAAGCTGTGCAAGGCATTCGCCAAAACCACCGTCCAAAACCTGACCGAGCGGATGGCGGATCTTCGTCGCATGGGCGGCACGAGGCTGTACAAGGTGGAATCGTGGCCCCCCAAGCTGGAAACGCGCGAGAGGCGCGTTGTCATGTGGCTTTAGGAAAATGCAATACTGTGTTAAAACTTATATGCTATAGTCTGTGTAGGCTGTAGTGGGGTAGCTCATATGGGGTACAACACTTCTAGGTTTTCCTACTTGTACCCACCTGCTTGCTAGTTCATTCATTTCCTCGCTTTTACTTTCACATGGTTTAAGAGCAGGTTCCCTAGTGGGAACGATTTTTTTTTAAGGGCCCACCACGAAAAGTTTTTTTTTCCTACCTGCCCGAAGCGCGCTGTCGCGCCTGCCTCACCTGCGCCATCGCGCGCCCTGCCCTGCCGCCCTACGTCGCGGCCCTGCCCTGCCGCCCCACGTCGCGGCCTGCCTCAGCCGCCAGTAGCGGCCCTGCCCTGCCGCCCCACGTCGCGGCCCCTGACCTGCAGCCGCCGTAGCGGCCCCTGACCTGCCGCAGCCGTTGCTGCCCCTGACCTGCAGCCGCCGTCGCGGCCCTGCCGTCTCCGCCGTCGCGCTTGCTGCCGCCGTCGTGGCCCCGCCGTAGCGGTCCTGCCCTGCAGCAGCCGTCGCGCCTGCAGCACCCGTCGCGGCCCTGCCCTGCCGCCGTCGCGCCTGCAGCCGCCGTCGCGGCCTCACCGTCGCGGCCACCGCCGTCGTCGCCGTTGCGGCCCCGCCGTCGCGCCTGCCCTGCCCGCCCCTGGTGAGCTCCTGCCCTACGCGCGCTACCCGCGCCGCCTGCCGGCCGAGCCGCGCCGCCCAGCTGAGCCGCGCCGCTCCGCCGAGCCGCGCCGCCCAGCCGAGCCGAGCCGCCTTACCGAGCCGCGCCGCACTGCCCTACTGAGCCGCGCTGCCGTGCTCGCGCTGCTCCTGCTGCTTCTGCTGCTACTGCTGCTACTGCCGCCATGGCTAGCCCTACGGTTCTTACCTTCGATGCTGAGGGTCGTGCAGTTGACTTCAATGTCTGGGTAGATGATCTGCAGCTGTTTCTTCAGTGCGATTCTAAGGACGGAGTCTCTCTTTTTTATCTCACGTCCGGCGCCTCTACTGCACCTGCTGCCGATGCTGACAGTACAGTTCGCTCGCAGTGGACTACTCGTGACGCTGTTGCTCGCCTTGCTGTTCGTAGTCACCTGCCTTCTGCTGAGCGCGCGCACTTTGGTCAGTACAAGACTGCTAAGTCTCTGTATGACGCTGTTGTATCGCACTACTCCTCCCCTGCCACTGCTACTCTCAGCCGCCTCATGCTACCGTACCTGTTCCCTGACCTGGCCGCCTTTGCTACAGTCCCTGACCTCATTACCCACCTCCGCACTAGTGACGCCCGCTACCGCGCTGCGCTTCCCTCCGAGTTCTGCGCCAAGAACCCCCTCCCCCATGTACATCACTCTCTTCTACCTAGTCACCCGTCTCCCTGACTCCCTTTCTTCAGTCAGGGACCACTTTCTCTCCCTTTGCCCCACCGAGCTCACCGTTGACATACTGGAGGAGCGCCTCACTGCAGCTGAGAAGAGTATAGTTGCTGTAGGTGCTTCTCGCGGCGACCCTCGCGCCCCTTTCGAGGGGTGTTCCCCCGTTCTCCTTCTGCCCTCTGTTGCTTCTGCTGCTGCTGTCGACCTCGTTGGCACCGAGCAGGTCGGGGCTGCGTCTACTCCTAGTGAGAGGCGCCGCAGCGGCAAAGGCAAGGGGGGCAAGGGTGGTGGAGGGGACGGCGGGGGCGGCGGTGGTGGCGGTGGAGGAGGCGGAGGGGGTGGGGGTGGAGGCAAGGGTGGTGGCGGGGGCGGGGGAGTCGGTGGTGGCGGTGGAGGTGGTGGAGGCAGCGGCAGCAGTGGTGGAGGCAGCAGCAATGGTGGTGGAGGCAGTGGCAGCGGAGCTGGAGGTGGCAGCGGCGGTGGTGCTGGTCGGGGTGGAGCTCCGCAGCGTGGAGACTTCGGCGGTCGCCAGCGCCAGCAGCAGCAGCTTTCCCGTGAGACCCCGTCGCCTCAGCAGCTTCGTGAGTGGTACGCTGGGCGTGGGAGGTCTGGGGGTGCTGGTCCCTGCACTTACGTTCTCCGCACCGGCGGTGGCCGTGGGGAGACGTGCGGAGGGCCACACACGTCGCAGCGCTGTTTCGGTTGCCTGTCTGACGCCTGGCGCGCGCAGTTTCCTGACGCTCCTGAGCTCCCTAGCTGGGCTGATCTGCTTAGGCAGAATGTTGATATCTTTGCTCTAGACTTTGTTGCCATCCTTGCTGCCATGTATGCTGTGTCTACTAGTGCTGAGGGTGACTGTTACCTGTGTGTGCCGCCCGACCCAGGTATAGAGTCTACTGCTCTAGGTGCTGGTGAGGCTGCTGCTCTAGGTGCTAGTGAGTCTGCTACTCCAGGTGCTGGTGAGTCTGCTCTCTCTGGTACTGCGCCTGCTGAGGCCTTGCACACCTTCACACTTGACTCAGGTGCTTCCCGCTCCTTCTTTCGCGACAGCACCACACTCACGCCGCTCAGTCGGCCAGTTGCAGTCTCCCTAGCGGACCCCTCTGGGGGCCCCGTCCTTGCGCACTCTTCCACGGTCCTACCGTGTCCGGCTGTCCCGTCTGGCTCACTGTCGGGTCTCCACCTCCCCTCGTTTTCTACGAACTTGGTGAGTGGAGCTGACCTCCAGGATGTGTGGGTTGACCAGTTCACCCCTGGAGGTCAGCGTGTGACCCACTGTACGTGCTCCCGGACTGGTCGGCACCTGGCCACGTTCACCCGAGCGCCTGGCTCGAGTCTGTACACACTGACCACTGTGTCCCCTCATGTGGCTGCGTCTGCGTCTGCGTTTGCGTCAGGTCAGCTAGCGGCCCCCTGCTCGTGTCGCGCTTTGTCGCACCAGACTGTCCTTTGGCACCACCGGCTTGGTCACCCCTCGGTGCAGCGCCTTCGTGGCATGCACCGACGTCTCCTTGTCTCTGGACTTCCAGAGACTCTGCCTCCTCTCCCACCCTCGCCTGCCCCTCCCTGCCTTCCCTGTGTCGAGGGGCGGCAGCACGCCGCTCCGCACTCCTCCTCGTTCCCCCCGACGACTGCTCCCCTGCAGACCCTGCACATGGACGTGTGGGGCCCAGCCCGCGTCCGTGGACAGGACCGCGAGCGGTACTTTTTGCTGGTCGTTGACGACTACACGCGTTACACCACGGTCTTCCCCTTGTGCACCAAGGGTGAGGTCCCTGATGTTTTGATCCCTTGGATCCGCGCTGCCCGTCTCCAGCTCCGCAAGCGGTTCGAGACGGACTTTCCCGTCCTGCGTCTGCACTCTGACAGAGGTGGTGAGTTTGCCTCTGACTGTCTGCGGGACTTTTGTCGTGGGGAGGGCATTCGCCAGACGTTCACGCTCCCGGCCTCACCGCAGCAGAATGGGGTTGCTGAGCGCCGCATTGGCTTAGTCATGGAGGTCGCTCGTACCTCCATGGTCCATGCGGCTGCCCCCCATTTTCTGTGGCCGTTTGCGGTCCGATACGCTGCGCATCAGCTCAACCTCTGGCCCCGTGTCTCCTTGCCAGAGACCTCGCCCACACTGCGTTGGACGGGGAAGGTTGGCGATGCGTCAGTGTTTCGGGTCTGGGGTTATCGTGCCTTTGTCCGCGATACGTCCGCGGACAAGCTCTCCGCCCGTGCTATTCCCTGCGTCTTCCTTGGCTTTGTCCCTGACGCGCCTGGCTGGCAGTTTTACCACCCCACCTCGCGCCGTCTCCTGCCCTCTCAGGACGTCACGTTCGACAAGTCGGTTCCCTTTTACCGTCTCTTCCCCTACCGCACTGCTTCTCTCCCCCCCCCGCCGCTCTTCCTTGCACCAGGTCCTCCTCCGGTAGACCCCCTCCCCCCTCAGGGTCCTGCTCCCTCAGGTGTGTCCCAGGTAGACGCTGTCGAGCATGTCGAGGTAGCGGTTGACTCTGGTGCTGCTACTGGGGGTGGTGCTGCTGGGGGTGCTGAGCCTGAGCGTGCGGAGCCTGGGGGTGCTGAGCCTGAGCGTGTGGAGCCTGGGAGTGCTGAGCCTGGGGGTGCCGAGTCTGAGGGTGCTGAGCCTGCGGTTGCTGAGACTGGGGGTGCTGAGTCTACTGGAGTTCCTGCAGGTGCCTCGTCTCGGCGGGAGCCTCTCTCTCCACCGGAGCTGCGCGAGTGGTTTGCTCGCCGCTGGAGACTCCAGCGAGGTGCTGCTGGAGCTGGAGCTGCTGGAGGTACTGCTGGTGCTGGAGCTGCTGGAGGAGCTGGAGCTGCTGGAGCTGTTGGAGGTACTGCTGGTGCTGGAGCTGCTGGAGGTGCTGGAGCCGCTGGTCCTGGAGGTGCTCGTACTGGAGGTACTAGAGCTGCTGGGGCTGGTGGTGCTGCAGGAGGTGGAGCTGGAGGTGCTGGAGCTGTTACTGCTGGAGGTGCTGCTGGAGCTGGAGCTGCTGGAGGTGCTGGAGCTAGTGGTGCTGCGGGAGTTGGAGCTAAAGACCCTGGAGCTGGGGGTACTGGTGCTGTCTCTGCTGTTTCTGGAGGCGCTGCGCGGCTGCGGCCGTACTACGCTCCGCTCCTTCAGCATGTTCTTGGCCTCCCGCCTTCTACTGGTCCTACTCCTCCCTTACTGAGTCCACCGCCTGACCAGTCGCAGTCACAGTTACAGCCAGCCTCTCCACTGCCTGGTCCTTCTCCTTACTCTGGGCCGACTAGAGGTCTTACGGAGCGTCGTGAGCCTGCGTCTCGTCCTGCGTCACCTGAGTCTCGTCCTGCGTCGCCTATTCGCGCTGCCCGCACTGGTCGTCGTGTTCCGCGTCAGCGTCCTACCCCTGTCCCCGGCACACACCTGATGGCACTTCGTCCTTCCACTGCTCCGCAGCGTGTCCCTCTGCCATCTCCTCCTGCGTCCTCTCTTCCTGACGGTCTGGACCCGGAGTCTGACTCCCTTCGTGCTGCTAGTCCTACTGTCACGCGTCTCCTGGCCACTGTTGTCACTGACCCTTCGTTTGAGTCCACTGCTGCGTCTGCTCTAGTTGCTGAGCTTGTTGACTTTGCTGCCGCCTGTCGTCTAGACTACGCCGCTAGTCTTGT